GGTGTGAGTGCGCTGGTTTGCGGGACCCCAACTCCTGTACCCACGGCAGTGGGAACATTGGAGTCGACCCAGATTGACCACCGTGCAAGGTCAGACGCCTGAGGAGTTCGGAATTGCGCTGGGCACACCCCTTAGGTGCCCGCTTGCGCCGCGATCCGCGGGCCAAGACGGTGCACACTCTCCACGACGGCATCAGCGACCTGTTTGAGGTAATGATTGGCAAAAACCGAGTCAGAACGCCAGTAACAACCTCGTAATATTCTGCGAACAGAGATATTCGAGTGTAGGGCAAATGTTGCCGCTAGCGCCCTGATCTCGTGCGGGTTTGACCCCGCTACCGGTAACCCCCGAGACCGGTACGCCAGATTGATGACAGAACGAAGCCACAACGCAATCGAGTTGCGAGTTACGTCAACCGTGCGATTAGGGTTACACGATATGAACAGACGGTCACGCCCTTGTCTACGTTCATTCGAAGCCTTAAGATAATACTTAAGGGCCCTAACCGGACACAGCGCTCTGTCCTCAGTATCAGCAGGATGTAAGATTTCTTTGAGTGATCTTACAGTGAATTCTCTCTCCGTTTGCCCGACTCTCTGATTCTTGGCGACGAAGCCCATGAGCAGGCCCAGGCGGACCGCTCCTTCGTCACCCCTATCGAATCGTACCTTGGCGACATCGAGTGCATGAATTTCGGATACACGTGCCGCCGTGGCAAAGGAGAGGAGAAATGCTGTTTTCCAAGTCACATGCCGGAACGAAGCACTATGCAAGGGTTCATACGGAGCTTCCGTAAGTGATTGCAACACTAGGGAAAGATCCAAGGCCGGTGCCCGAAGGCGGCCCTTCTTAAGATCGTGCTGTTTGAAACCCTTGATAATACCCCGTATCACCGGCTCTTTGGAGAGACTGGTACCCATAGCAACGTCCCGTACCGTAGCAACGGACGAGACATAGTTGGCAATGGAACCCCCGGAGAGTTTCCGGGTCTCTCGCAAGTGAGACATGAAACGAGCAATATCCTGCACAGATACCTTATCTGGCGAATGAATGTGATGTTTACAACACCACTTCGTGAAAATAACCCAACGTGCATTATACACCTTCTGGGTAGAATCACGATGCATACTAACGTATGCCCGAGACGCCCGGCGAGAAAAAACTTTACTCCTCAGACGCTCGGTGACAACATCCACGCGTGCAGATTGAACTGCCCTGCGTTTGGATGAAGCTGACGGGTGTGAGGGTGGATCAAGAGATCCGGTCTCACAGGCAGTGGAAGTGGCGACTGCGTGACCTGGGTCAGCAAGTCGGGGTACCACGATCTGTTCGGCCACTCGGAGCCGGCTTAGAATGTGTGGTATCAACGCTGTCGGCGGGTAAGCATAAGCGACCAAGCCCGTCCAGTCTAACGCGAGAGCATCGTGATCGATGGCCCTCGGGTCCGGGACTGGTGATACAAACAACGGGAGTTGATTGTTGAACCGCGTTGCGAACAGGTCGACCATCGGACGACCCAAACGTTCGCACAGCCACTGAAACACTACTGGGTTCAGCATCCACTCTGTGGGGCTCGGATCCTGAGGCCTCGATAGAGCATCGGCCAGTACGTTCCGCACACCTGGGATGTGACGGGCGCGTATCTGGCACGGGACACTGTCCACCAGAGCGTAAAACTCGAACGTGAGATCGAGTAGCGAGTGACTGTGGGTTCCCCCCAGTTTGTTCACATAGGACACTACCGTCGTGTTGTCGGTCGCCAGCATGAGCCGGGCGTCGACGAGACGATGCTTCCAGTGATTGACTGCGTTGATCACTGCCTTGAACTCGAGACAAGTGATGTGAAGACCTAGTTCGTCTACGCACCACAGCCCCGAGCTCACCTCCCCCTTTAGATGGGCGCCCCAGCCCACTAGAGAGGCGTCTGTATACAGGGTCAACGTGGCCCGGTAGGGCCGCATAGAGACTCCTGATAAGACATTGTAAGGGACTGTCCACCACTCCAGATGCGGTCGGAGCCGATCCGGGAGGGCGACGGTCGCACTGTTCACCTCCGTTGCTAACAACTGGATTAAAAACCGTTGCAGCGGGCGGAGTTGGAGACGACCCCGTGCGGTGCAGTCCTGGGCTGATACAAGTAGCCCTAACAGCTGTTCCCAAAAGTGAACAGTCTGTTGCACCGCTAAGACTTTGGCAATCAACGCCTGAATTTTGTGCCACCGGTCTGGGGGGACAAAGAGGCGATGGGACACCGTGTTGAACCGACCTCCGATGAACAGCAAGTTCTGAGAAGGGGTTAACTCGCTCTTGGGGAGATTGATAATCCACCCAAATTGCTCCAAGAGCCGACGTGCGAAAACGAGATGGCGTGACAGGGTGTCCGTCATTCGATTTGCTACTAGCGAGTCGTCCAGGTACGCGAAGTACCGGACACCCCTCCTGTGGAGGAACCCCACTATGGGGGTGGTTAACCGGGTGAACAGCCAGGGAGCGGACGTGTGAATCATTCTGAGTTCGGCACTGTCCTACTTGGGAACGAGAAATATCCTGGAGTAAAACCCCGGTGTTATTTCTGGTAGAGCTAACTCCCGTACTGCCCCTTCTCCACCAACCTGCCGATGGCATCGGCGAGGATGGGAAGATCGGTTTCCGAATCGAAACCTGCCAACGGGGCAACGGTGAGCGGCGGATTCGCTTTGAGATCAAGCCGATAGCCGTACCGAATCGTGTTGACCACCCACGGGTCGTCGAACACTTGTTCCCAATTCTCCCAGTAAGTCTGGAGTCTGGCTCCCACTGGGGAAGGAGAGGGGGCCCTGACAGGTTGCGGCAGGCGCAACTGTCCAGGGCCAAGTGACTCGGGTTCGCCTAAGGGCCAACCGAAGTTGGCGCTGTCGGCATACGAACCCCTCCAATGAGAGTCACCTGGAGGGGCCCTTGCCGTCCGTCGACGACTTGGGCTTCCCCCAGTTCCCCGTCTTCCCGCGAAAGGGCAGCTGATTGCCCATACCGGAGCCCTCAGGGCGGGGCTACTTCCCAGAGGAAGAAGAACCCGACCCCTTAGACCTACCGGCCGCAGCAGCCTGGGGCGCGCTCCGGTTAGGAGCGGCACCCAGGCGCCTATGCAGGGACCCAACAAGAGCAAGTGTGTGCCGAGAGTCCTCGGCAACGTACTCCAGGGAAGCATTTAAACTGAGCAGGCAGTTGTAAATGCGCTGGTCACGGTCCGTGGGAGAACCTTCGACCAGACGGGCCGCTGCAGCCAAGTAAGTGTCTCCATGAGACATGGAGTGCCGAGCGAGGGCGTCCAGCTGGTGCAAGGTAGCTTGCGTTACCGTAGCAGCCGGTGGGGCACGGACACCCAACCGCTCAACATGGGCCTCCGCGGTAGGACCAGCCTCGGAAAAGGCAAGGTCATGTACCGGGAAGAAACCCTTTCTCCACGACATCGGAGGCAACGGGAGACCCCGACCGGAGGCCGCCGCGAAGGCGTTCTCCAAGGAAGGCTTGAAACCGCGCAGCAAGGTTGATGCGGGGAAAGCCGTGTCGGAAGACTCATCGTATAGCTCGGAGGAACCCACAGTCGTGGATTCCCCGCGGTACCGGCCGGGGCATGTCCTCAAAGAGGTCATAAACCATGGCCACGCGGTCCTAAACCGATAGCGGGAGCAACGGTTCGGGGGAAGGACCGGTGACCACGGGAGCCGCCGCCGTACCGGTGGACCCCGCGTCCGACCCCGCGGCCACCGAAGTGGCCGGGGACGGAACAGCCAGCGGCCTATCCTGAGATAAGGCCGCCAGCTTGGAGTCCACAAGTTATGCAAGTAATGCAGCGACGGAATCCCCGGACAGCACACGGGCCGCCAAGAGATCCGCCGCTTTACCGGTGGACCCCGCGTCCGACCCCGCGTCCACCGAAGAGGCCGGGGACGGAACAGCCATCGGCCTATCTTGCGATAAGGCCGCCAGCTTGGAGACCACAAGTTTCGACAACAATGCGGCGACGGAATCCCCAGACAGCCCGAGGGCCGCAAGGGGATCCGCCGCAGCCGAGGAGGTGGTACCCGCACGGGGACCCCGACCGGACGAACCGGCCACCACAGGGGTGGAGACGGACTGTACGTACAGCCGGTACCGCTCAAACTCCGCAGGCCCCAGACCTTCGCACAGGATGCACCGGGTGTCCCCGCAAGGAACCCTGCACCGCGGGCAACGATCGTGGGGATCCCGGGACGACAAAAACTTTCTGCACACCCCACAACTCCGAGGAGCAGGGGTAGAGGGGGTGGATACTGGGGACATATCCATGTCAGACATTGATTGTTTGCTATAAACAAAGAACAAAACATGGTTACAACGCACGCACCACAATGATTCACAAACGAACATTTTCACAAGAAAATAAACGAGCAATGTGAACATATAACATACACATATAACTTTTATTAAAGAAATAAGTGATGTTAACCCCCAAAACATACAAGAACAGGGGAAACGTAAAACACAACGTGCATACGCGAACCCCACAAGTATATAGAAAAAAGGGCGGGAAAATTATAACCAAGCGTAGCTACCGCAACGCCCCATAAAAGCACAGTTTATTAGAGAATAAACTATAATAAATATCACCAAATCTTCAAGGAACGCTTCAGCAGGAGAAAACACGTCTTGCTAAGCAGACGAAGGAGACAAGAGTGAAGGGTGTCACATGGCAGCTGGGTGGCTACGCACGTGCTGCATGAGGTAATTGAGATCTCTGTGGTAGATTTCGCTATAGCAGCAGTTGTGGGAGACAACAGCCTCGGTATAACAGTGGTAACGTATTACTTAATGTAATCAAGGCTTTTCAAGCTATTTTGGTGATTTTCAAGGCTTTTCCAGGTTGACACTAAATTCAAGGCTAAAATTCAACAGGGGCCTTAAATTCAAGGCCTTTTCAAGCCTGTACAAACCTTGGAGATTGAAGGATGTGTTTTCAGTGTTGTTTTTTAGCCACTTACCAGTGAACCAGTAGCAATTTCTGTGTTTCCTGAAGATTCTTTGGATTTCTTTTTCTTTGATCTTGTTTTTTCTAATAACCGCTTCCTCTGAGAAAATGGCATCACACCCCTGTGAATCAATGCAATGAAATTATCTGACTACAGCAGTAACTTTTATTGACATATTTGTTCAAGATCCACTTAACATGTTTACAATAACAGGCCATAAATGTCAATGTCACATCAAATACAAAAACAAAATATTATGAGAGCAGTAAAAGCAGACAGTATTGACTGAGCAATACAATCTGGCATCCCTTACTAATTTTCAACGCTTTCCTTCAATCCTAAAATGAGGAAAAAAGTGTGAAAAAATAGACTGAAAAGCACAACTTTCATATTCTGCCTTATGTAAACTTATGTGTTCACCACATAAACATTTAGCATACTGCCAAGCACTATGTTACAATAAGTATAACAGTGATACAAGACAAACTAACATGGCAAGATATTCATAACGTTTTTGAAGAACAAGAACAAAATCTGAAATGTCCCTCATATTCATATTTTTATCCTACCTACAGACCATGATATTTAAGAAACACATTGGAAAACCATGTAATTAAAACTGTCTGTCCTACTCTGTCAGTATGAAGTGTATGACTTACCACCAGTAGAGTGCTCCACTCTCCAGTCTGGCGCAGGTGTACAGGGAGCATGTATGCAAGGACACAATCTTGTCAGTCTGGAACTCACTGAACATTTGAGCCGAGTGTTCTAGCTTCACAGCCACCTGGTTGAGGGCTTCGTCCATCCATGTCGCAACCTGGTGGACAAGGAAACAGCTGCTAAAGAGCCACACTAAAAACATGGCAGGATACTTGCATGGAGTTACATTGCTTTTAGTCTCCACAATATTACACAGGACAAGAATGGACCTTTTTAACTATCCCCATGTGAGAAACGGAAACCCAGTTTGGGGCAAGTTGCTAATATGTCTCCTCCTGTGCCTGTTTGGAATGAGTTGTCATTGTTCCTACCTTGCCAGATTCGGTGCACACAGAAGCTCGGACACTGCATGTTGATAGCCCGGTCACCTTCTCATTAGTCAGGCCCAGACTGGCAGTCTTAGCATGGTGGATGATAGGGTTCTGGGGGAGAAATATACAGCATCAGCACCTTCATATTCTTGCCACATTAGAATGTCTGCCATGAGGGTAAAATCCTTAGAAGATGGTTTATCATTCATTATTCGTTAATTGTACCGACAGTTCAGTTTTCCTTTCACCAAAATCAGTTTACTGATTACCTAATAACTATGTAACAAAATCCTGTCAAATTCTGAAATTTAACTCTCAACATCTTCTAAGTAGAATGTTAAACTCACATCTGGGTGTTTGTATGGATCAGGGTCTGACCACTTCCAGCCATACAGCCGACCATTAGATCCCACAGCAACCAGTTCCGAATGCATTGCAGAGATGTGGGTAAACCTTGGATCATCTGCATCCTGGGCCTGCAGGGAGAAAAGAGGGTCAGAGAATTAACACTTGTGAATCACAGTCTCTGCTTCAAAGCGACAGGGCACTCACAAAGATGGTTAGATGCGTGCAGGACCCTGTTCATGAATCACATACACACCATAGCAGCTGACCACCACTGCAAGTCTTCTCCAAGGATGAGAGGGCTCTGTGATGGTGTTGTGGACTTCTTGCTGGATTCCCCACTCACATTGTCCGACTTGTCTCGATCTAGGGGCTTCAAGGGGTCCTCACGGAATGATGACTCTATACGGCGACGGTCCCGGATACGGAAGATAGACTCCCTCTCTCGGTCCCGGTCAAGGTCCCTGTCCCGCTCACCTGTAATTGCATGAACAAACTTGTTATAACAGGTACTTAGTAAAATCTAAATATTTTTTTAACATTTGTATACATATCCTGCATTACTACTTAATGCATTCACTGCTTACCTTGCGACAAAAAACGGGACAGCATAACGGTGGGTGTAGAAATAAAAATGCTGTAGTTCATAGTCCCACTTTTCAAGACCATCGCCACTGTCCTATGACCTTGATGACCTGAGGTCACCTCCTCACATCACTGCCTGTCGCCCGAGCTTTTAGAAAAACATACTTTTGAGGTTTCTGAAGCCAAAGTGGGGAGGCAAGTCTGCAATGGGTGGGCCTTAACCGTAGTAATGCAGGAAAAGTACACAAATGTAAAAAATATCCAATTCCTCATCTGCTGATACCTTCGACGAATCCGAATGGTGGCGATGCGCTCTCCTTGTAGGTAAGCAGCTTCTGCTGTAGTGCGTAGATCTTACTCTTGAAGAGTGCTTAGATGAAGCACTGGGTGAGGTAGAGCCATGCGACGAGACCCACGTATTGACGAAATAGGCTGGTACACAGTCGCAGGCACCTGGTACACTTGTGCTATGGACTACTGCCACATGGACTGCTTAAAGTTCTGCATCCAGGAAGTCTCCAAGAAGGAGCTGTAGGCTGAGCGTAAATGGGCTGCACTACCAGGTAGGTAGGTGGTACAGCGCTAAGCTGACCCAGCGTAAATGACATCGCGGGAGAGGCTGAAAGCCCTGAAGATGTAGTCATAGTCGATAGGAGGGCCTAGATAGATGCTGTGCTTGGCGCAAGCCCTTGCAATTAGACACACGTAGGTGTCGACAGGATCAAGGTGTGCGCTTGCGCAAGCCAGGTAGAAGCATCATAAGATGTGTGCACTGGCACCAGCCCAGTAGAAGCATCGTAAGACAATTAGTGCACTGCACAAGCACAAATTACACAAAAATTGAAATTGTAGTTGAAGTAGACTTGTACATACTGATGGTAAAACTTAATTCAGCAAAATTTACAAGTATTAAAGTGTATCAAAAAATACACACTAGATAACGCCACAAAAGGCCAAAGGTATTTACACATACATGAAGTAATACCTAGCCAAGCAGTGCAAACAATGACTGCCTCGAATATAGGAGACAAACAATGTAACGCAATTACAAAATGGTATGAAACAATGAGTCATGTGGCATAAAAGACAAAGTTGTTTCACGTGGAACAACCTACATCTTAATACACATTTAAGTGAACATGACATGAAAAGGAATACACCACCCTTCGCAGACAAAATTTTATGCTAAGTGGAGGACCAAATGAACACAACTTTCCAGTAGGACGATAAGCAGGAATGAGATCAGGAATGTGATGTCACCACGAACAGTCACATGACAGAGGCGATGGGTCCTACAATAGGTAGACTGAAGATGGAAACAACTTTTTCTTCAGCTTGGACCATCGTGGAGCGCTGTCTTTATTTCTTTTCGTAAGGTGAGCAGTTGATGCAGTAAGGAGTAATGCAGGACAGACAGACAGACTTGGCCATGCAAACCACTGGTTCAGAGAAGAGCATCAATTCATTGTGGTACAGTAATAAACTATTAAGCACCTATCGTCAAAAGTCAGCTCTTATGACAAGCATAGGAACTGGGGACCTATTCTACCAAGGTATGACCATGACCATTTTAGTTGGTGCGTTAACATGAACTGGGTACATGGAAAGCTTAATGCGCTTGCCACCTATTTCATCTCCCCCCATTTCCAACACTGACCTAGCCTGGATCTGGTCCCTGATCCACGACTTCTCAGTGAGCTGTAGCCAAACATGTCTTCATTGAACATGGCATCTGCATCGATGATGACGCTTGGGTGGTCGGAATGCATGCCGCTGTCCAGGAGGGAGATGAGGTCATCAGGCATATAGGAGTCCTGGCTGTCCTCCTCGTCCCCCTCCCCCTCATCGTCCCGGGACAGCAGGTTGTTCACAGCCATGTTCACATCAAGGTTCTGATGACAAAGCATACAATGAAGCATTTCCAGAACACAACAAGCAACAAATAGGAAGTACAAACTTCATCTTATTCAAACATAAAACAACACATTTCTAAGTCAAAGGCAAAAGTAACTGAGTATTTCTGAATTATTATATTCTGATATATAAGATAGCTATGTGATAAATCGCAAAGAACTATGAAGAACGATGTGTGGTTTTGTTTTATCATGACGACATTTCTGGAGATTTGAATATGCGCTCGCAACTTGATGACATCGCATATTGGACAATGTTACTTTTTAAAGGAGAGTGTCTAATGAATTGTTCCACATAGATGAAGCTGGGCAACGCAAATAAACACAGTGGCCAAATGATCGCATCCAAAAGTGGGAAAGATATGATAACCGGTACTGGGAGAAAAGCTGCAGATAATCAACATGAAGATTGATATAATATGCGGGAAATACTCACCTGTGCACAAAATGAACTTGTCCGACATTGCAGAGGTCGGATTCCATTGAGGGAGTCATCATTATTTAAATAAGGGTTAATATTTTTTAAGCTTGTACCTCTTGTCATTATCCTTAAAGAGGCTGTATATCATGTTGATATATCATATAAGAAATAAACGACTCATCTTTTATTTGTTAAAAAAGAAACACATAACCCATAAACAATAAACATTATAACTCCTCTTGCCTGTATTGACAAGTGGTTCACAGAGTATGTAAAACAGCACACTCCATACAATCATAATTGGAATATATATCTACCTTCAGTTACCTTTGCCTTTGAACATGTTTGAAGAGAGATCTTCCTACCATTATATCCAACATTTTGGAAGACCTCCCAATTACTTTTAAGCCTTTTCTTCTAAGTTTCTTGTCCCACGATTCCAGGTTCTAACTCAACGTCTTTTTGGCTATTCTTCAATCTCCTACATTCTAGACTGTCATAAAATTGTAAAACACTGAAAAGTAGTTTATCATGTAGAATAGTAACCAAACATGGATTATAAATCTGATACACTCACCGTTCTCTGCAGCTCTCTAATGATAAGGTTTCGTGATTTGCCTTGTAGTACTACTTGACACTGCAAAACAAACCAGTTTGCTTGTGTAACACACGCACACAGCATAACAGCCACACTTTCACTGACTGATAAATTGTACAATGATAAATGCACATATTTAATGGAACTAATTATGCTTGGCAATTTGGTAACACTTTTACGATTTCCTGTCTTAGCACAAAAAATCGTTTTACCTGATTTATGAGTTCTTCTGGTACCACTGAGGCAGGTACAAGAGGACGTGCTCCAACAATGACCCCTGACCTCCGACCTCTACTGACATGCACTGTACGTTGCATGCGGTTGTAGCCTTGCTGGTTGTTGTTGCGGGATGTGGGGTTGCTGGCACCACTGCTGCTGCTGCCAACGCCTCCACTTCCACCTCGTGTACCTGGCCATGTTCTGTGAGAGACAGTGTATGTTAGTCAATTTGACCATATTGCTATCACACGAGGTATTCACCCACTGCCAACCACATCAATTATGGAAAGAGTGCCATTGTTGAATTGTCTCAATCACTTTTATACTTTGAACTGTCTATCCCAACAAAATTCATTTTCAGAATTTTGTCATTTATGGCGAAAGCGGACAGCCAATTATCCCTTGATGAAATTCATCTCGCACTAAACAAAAAAGTCAAACTGTACAGAATGTATACCATAGTCAACCCCAGATATAACAGAGCGAAAAAACAGTGAGAAATCATTGATAGCAAACACCATTCTATTCCAACAGGCCTTACATCAATGTTGTTAGTCATGTGAACAACTGTCTCCAGACATAACAAACTTATTTCCGAGGGTAAATTATCATGATTATAGTTAAAAATATCCAAGTTTGTCTGTATTTAATACCATACATTATCATAAGTTTCTATATATATGATAAATTAATCAAATCTAAATATTTTTCCCGTTTGGATACTTATCCTGCATTACAACCTTAATGCTTCTACTGCTGTTCTTTGACTAGGAAGACGGAGCTGTGAGAGGTCCTGGTTACAGAAATTGTTTGACCAACCAGTCGTGTGGCATCCTTCCTCCCACAGCTACCACATCACCGGAAGTGGCAACGTCACGTATGATCACATCACTCCTAGTAACGGACATCTGAAAAACTTCGCGGGTAGGCAGCAAAGCGATGGGAGGGCACTCTAGACGTAATAATGCAGGATAAGAATCCACATGTAAAATATATTTAGATTTTACGAAATGTTTTTATCTTATCCTGCATTACTACCTTAATGCATTTTTATCAAACAGAACGGAGTGGGGCATACCTTTCACATGGAATTTCAGGAAAGACACTTCCAACAGTCCGGGTAACCAGATAGCATCTTGAGCGGGAAAAGTCTGAAACCACAGACCTTCCTGTCCGATAAAGACACACAAGGGAGAGTAGGAGGTGTGAAATCCAGTCTTGGATAAGGAAAAAGTAGAAAAAGGAGGTCAAGTTCAAAATTGGGTTCAAGCAGCTGGAATAAATGAAAACATGAAACCCTCTAGTCTGGGAAAAAAATACCAGATGTCAAGACTGTCTTGGGTGACCTGTTGCGAAATGACAGTATCCGAGTGCCAAAAACAACCTTCCATGATGGATTTGAAGGAACATTTTGAGAAAGGACCTCTGTTGTGTCTTGGATCAACAGAGGAAAACCCTTTAGACTTGAACTGGGCACAGAAATCCAGCTCATCCTTGTCCTTGGAGCCCACTATCAATGATAAGGGAGTAACGGTGAAGGATTCTTAGCAATGAATCCTAGCACAGACCAAGATTGATAGCACCATGCGCTCTGCGCTTTAAATGTACTCAGGACATGTCAAGGGCATGTAACTTGCTGACTCGAGCCGCCAGGAGAAAAAAACGTTTTTTTTGTTAAGATTGAAGAAAGACACAGAGCCAAGTGGTTTAAAGGGAGCGGTATGGAGCGAATTCAATACCATGTTCAAATCCCAGGCTGGGGGATGAAACTTGGCAAGTTGATCCTCCAGACAAAACGATTGCAATAGTGACCAAAGTTCCAGGATCTTGGTCATTCTGTGATCCATAGGAACTGCCAGCACTGAATTCAGCCATAAATGGCGGTGATGCAGACATAGGTTCCTGTTTCTTATTCAAAGGAACACCACTTGTTATCATACAGAGTATGTGTTGAAGGTCTACGCAGAGCTACAGATAAACAGCTTATTTGTGTAAAATACCCCCAAAAATATTCAAAAACCAATAACCTTCAATTAACTTGTGTACAGAAATGCATGCATTAAATGAAAAACTCAAATGTATAAAAACAGCATGCGTTAATACCCAAAGAAGCTTTTTCAGCATGCATACAAAGGAGCTAATTTCCGAAACACAATGATGAGCTAATTTACTTTCCGGGTCAAGCCTATATATTTTAAACAGTTATATACATCTGAAACATTATTTCATTTTTTAAAATCTTAAAATGTTCACTAATATGGGGGAAAACCCAATAGTGATAAATATATGAGTGAAAAAATATTGGTTACCCAATGAAAAATGTAATAACCCAATTAAAATAGAAACGCTAGAGTAAAAACTCAATTGCTCAAAATGTTATCTGGAGCTCTGTCTAGAGATCAAAAGCAGTGATAGAATTGGTGTGCAAAACCCTTGTAAGTAGTACAGGAGGCGTAAAACATACACATTTAGGCCTGTCCAGTGAACGCTGTATGTGTCGACCATCCAAGTCAGAGCATGTAGGTCCGGAGCTGATAATTCTGACTGGTGGTGAATAGGTCGATAAGTGGCAAGATGAACTGCTGGCCACAACAGATAGAAGGCATCGGGGTGGAGCATCCACTCTGTGGGAGCCACTTTGTCCGGCCTGCAACAACCGGGGATGTGCTGGACGATGAACCTCAGGTGCAGTCGATCAATTCTATCTGAAAGAATCAGAAGGTCTGGGACAGTAGGGATGATGAGTGAGGAGTCCCCTGGTTGCGTATACACCAGACGACTGTGATGTTGTCTGTGGATACGGCTATCTCTTTGCGCTGAAGCCAGGAATGATGCTTCGACTTCCAGATTGTTGTTGTGCCACCGAGCTTATTCTTTGACCAAAGCCTGGAGGCAGTTTGGTCCCCCCAGCCCTGAGGATCTACGAACAGGTGGAGTGTGGGCTTGAGTGCCGTTAGGTTTGTTTGTTTGTTGTTTAAGGCCGCACTTAGCAATATTCCAGCCATATGAAGGTGAGCGCTGTTAGGGACAGTTTCACTGTCCACCAAGAGCGGAGGTAAACCTGGAGCGCTATGGAGGTCATTGAGGATCCATCCCAGTTCAGCATGTTGACGATACGTGAAATCCCTGTGAAGGAGGAGGGTTTGTGGGTCCTGATGACTAAGTAGACAGTCAGTTATGTAAGACTTGAACTGAACGTTCTTCAGGTGCAGGTATGCAGTAATTGGCTTGGTAATCCAGGTAAATAACCACGGGGCCGTGAGAAATGCCAAATGGGAGGACCTCCCAGTGGTAGTGGATACCCTGGAAAAAGAACCTGAGAAACTTCCTGCTACTGTGGTAGACGGGCACATGAAGAGAATCGTCCTGGAGGTCAAGACTGATCAGGAAATCGTTGGCATTGATTCTGGTCCTGCGCAGTCTCAACGTAGTCAGGCAAAAGTAAGGAGGACGTTCCAGGTAACGCTTGTTGAAGACAACTTGATTGTGGATCATCCGGAATTTAGATGAATCCTTCTTGGGCACCAGAAACACTAGAACAATCTCCAGCGCCTGCTTGATCACAAGAAGCGGAATGGTGTGGAGCAGGTACTGAGCCTGACTAGGTGGGTGGGCATCCACCATTGGGTCAGAGGTTAACATCAGGTCTGCTGTCAGAGAGAGCCTGTACCCCTGACGAAGGATGTTGGTGACAAACGATCTTCAAGAATTGTCAAATTGACCCCAAACCTGCCCAATCTCCCACCTTCAGCGGTGTCTATGACTGGGACAACTGGGGGTAAGAGATCCCAGGCGCTGGAACGCCAAGGCCATCAGCGTCTGCCCCCGCAGTCACCATCCCTGGATTTGTGTTGGCGACGACGAGGTTGGTTAAGAGGTTGGTGAAGAGGAAGCCTGGGGGGAAGCCTTAATAGAGGCGCACCTGGGCTGATAATTGCCTGTTTTAGATGGTTTAAACTTGGATTGATTGAGATGTGCTCTAGTACTTTAAGTGACAGTGCTAGCAGTGATGTGATTAAATGTGACGTTGCCACTTGCGAACACGTGGTAGCTGTGGGAAGAAGTATGCCACACAACTGGTTGGTACCTCTGACAGCTCTGTCTTCCTAGTCAAAGAACAGAACTAGAAGCATAAGGCAGCAATGCAGGACAAGACAAAACAATCATGTAAATTTGACACCTTTAACAAAATATTTTTCTGCAGCATATAAGTCTTACCCTACAGCCTGTGCTGTGCCTGATCCTAGAGCATCTGACACCAACACAAGGGGGCTCTCCACGACCAGTGTTCCATTCCGAGATAGGTTCCGCTCTGGTTTCTCGGGTTTACTAGGCTTCCTGGACAGACAGATGTTAATGATAAGACATACTGGAAACTAGGGCTATATCAACAGCTGTCTTGAGAGAACTAGCACCTTTCATTACGTTTTTTGCATATGGTGCTCTGACCTCTTTCAATGAGACTGATTCTTCTGCTGTCAGCATGGTCAGCCCTTCAGCTATTACAGATATTATTGAACACGTTGAACAGTTCATAAATGAATAATAAATGAACTGAAACATGTTAACTGCAAGTATTTACATCAACAAAAATTACCATTGCAGAAAAAGAAAGACTTACGTTTTGTTATCATTGTTCTTGCTGAGGTCAAGTCTGTCTGTCACCAGTGTGAAAGGCACACGGCAGATTCGGCCATTCTGTGAAAAATCACAACAACTTTGCATATATTTTTGTAAATTTAAGCGAAACAAGCAAAACATGAAATAAACCTGAAATGCCACCCTCAGCAATACTCTAGCCGAATGAAAGTGGCAAACGCCATCTTAAACTACATTGGGGCTAGTACTTTACTGCAAATATTTGTTTAGGTAGCACAAATTTCATGGCATCTGAACATGATGCCACTGTGTCTTGACGAAAGTAACAAAGGTATCTGAATGTTAACCTTTTTCATACATATTAATTTATCGTTATCAAGGTCATGTCACTACAAACCTCTAGAAGCAGAGCAATATAGTTTGGTCCAATCACACATTGTGATATAACTAGATTCTTCAGTGCAGACAGACATGTTGGGCTGGTAAATCCATGATGACTCAATTTGGCGGCAACTTCTCCTAGTCTGCAATGTAAAAAGTGTTCCATGTATGAGTGACTTTGATAGTGAAGTTGCCAACATGTGAACTACATTAGTCACCATAAAATCAGGCAGTCAGATCAATCAACAGTACATCTAACTCAGTAATACACGCAGCGTCATCACATTGTTATGTCATGTGTACACGGATGACTCGTTAGAAATATTAACTTTGTCCTACTTTTCACACCCTAACTTATGATTTATGCCTACCAATAATAATAATAATAAAAATATATACTTCGGTAAGTCAATGTTATTTATTTCCCCAGTCATCACTATTCAGGCTATATCATGGCGACTAGTAAATAATCAAGCTTGCACCCAATCAAGCTATGTTCCCTTGGCCATCTGGCAGGCAAATTGGGAAAACAATCATTATTACTTCAATATTGTGATTTTTGTCAATGTTCTTATCTTAACATTGCATTCAATGCAACTAAGTTCTGAAGACCCTTCTATTATCTTTATTGGTTCTTTTATGAGTAAAATACAAGTCACCTCTACAAAGGCATAACTTATCATTTGATATTATTATTGCAACTCGAATGAGGATTTTTTTATTCAAATTCTTGGAACCGAATATCGGCCTCTGAGCGGGTCTAGATAAATCTAGTCACCTCATATGACAAGCAAGAGAGTGCTGGAGACCTGTTCCAACCCAAATGCGAACAGAGTACACGTGTGTTTCATGCTGAACACATCATGTTATCAGAAATATGCACTCATGGTTAAGCCACTGAAGTTACGTGTTTATCAAATGCAAATTTACAAACTCACAGAAACATTTCTTCATAAAAGGAGTGTTCATAATTAAAGTAGGACCCCCTTAATCTTCAAGTTAATACCAGTGTTTTGACAAGGACTTTCATGCTATCAATTTTAAACACTGCTTCAGTATGGTGGTGCTGTTTTGTTTGATGCATATATCATAACACTGTTTCTCCTCTGTCAGTGCAACTTGTAAACTAAGATTTGTTACCATCATGGAAATAACAGATAGTGAAAGGCAACAGGCCTGAGAGGTCAGTACTGGGTGGGTGCATTAATTTGCATCGGCATACAATGCCTTGTATTATTGAAATAGGATCTAATTATGAATAATGATGATTCATAATATTCTGCCTGCGACTTATACATGATGTACAACTTCCATGCTCCCGTAATGTACTAGACTAAGACATATATCATGAGGCCAAAATGATACAACATATATCCTAAAAGGACGTTATTCACTTTTAGAATTATTGTGAGAAATATTACAGCTCAGTGCTACATACAGAACACACATTATTATTTCCGGCAAAGTTAAATATATATGAAAAGGAACTACCATTTCTATTTCCGATACCTGACAGGGAATACTGTAACATCTAAGAAACTAGGATGAGCCAGAATCCAGATGTGTTAACCCAGCAGAATCTATTTATGGAAACGAAATACATTATAACATAATCTCATTTAACGTCTACGAAACACAATCATCATGGGGAGATAGTTTCAACAATGAATATCGTCGTTTCAGTCTCCATAATGTCCACACAAAGGACATCAAGCTTAGTATTCTTGTCGTCGACGTTACACATGCGTGCCCGAGTCTGATTTGTCTGGGGTACGATGACATCTAAAACATAGAAAAATTGCCTGGATTCGTCACCTTTCGTTTAGTTGATCATCAGTTCCCGGTAGTGGTTGAACAACAAAATGAAGAGAAGTCATTTTATAAACAACTGTTTAACACAGATTGTCGTATTTTAACAAGGATCGCCCCAAGTCTTCACAAAAATTGAGAGCGACCCATCGCCATTTTGAACAGATGCTTCGGTGTAACGGGGCAGGTGCGCGCTGATTGGTCAATTTATGAGCGCGACAGCGAAACGGTATATTGTCAAAGGACGCTTTCAAATGTTTATATTAATAACAATAAAGTTCGTTGTTAACACGATACTCATTACTCATAATAGGTTCGAGTTACTTGTCACATCAAATTATTGTTATGTAGATTGCAAAACTGTCTGAATAGCTATTAATTTTCTTCGTTCCACAAGGGAGTGCATGTGTACATATTTTATCCTTTAACACGTATCAAATGTGGGAAGAAGGTTCACATGTGCTGTACGTCCTTGCGGATAAAGGGGGAAATAAGCCTGGTTTCTGTCATGCACAACAAGAAGGTCTTTGTTTATGAACTAGCATTGTGTCATGAATTATTCATACAGTCATGCGACATCTCTTAAACACAAAACATGAAATACCCTGCAGGAAACGGAAACCTAACAACATTGAATCCAGTGCATTTACTATAATTTATCTCCCAATTCTATAATTTTCGATCTGATTATATTTTTCCAATTACTCAACAATTTACAATATTTTATCTTTTAACATTTGAGACGCAGTAGATCTACGCATGTAGGATATGTAATTTGTGGTCAGTAACCTTTGAACTTCACGTACCATAAGAACCTTTTATAAGAATATATACAACCAAAAGTCTGAAGATGCTGCATTTTCAAAAACACCCCAGATACTTATTAGTTTTGGAAACTGAAAATCCCCAGGTAAGGATGATTTGTTATCTAAAATTTCCAATAAAACGTTAGACATGGCAACTATGCATGTATACGGTCTTTACTTGACCATTTTGCCATACAACAGTCAGCCGTACATTCGCGTATCATTGAAGAACGTAATACCAATTGTCGGAGGAAGTGAAATGTGAAATGTGAGTTATCTTATTTCACTTTCTTTTAATTATGGCCGCCTCCATGGCCTAGAGCGGCCGCCCGTAGAGTGGAAGGTCCGCGTCATACCAAAAGACGTTCAAAAGATGGAAACTTGTTGTTACCCTGCCTGACGCTCAGCATTAAGGGGCTAAAACAAGGACTGGACGGCACGGAGTCAGTATACTGTGTCTGAGTGGGGTATTCATGTTAAACTGCGGCATGGTACCCCAATGGGCTAGCACTATAAAATCGGCATTAGTCCGGACTAGTACAAACAGCCACGCACGCACGCGCGCGTCGCTATAAAAATTCAATAACTTTGAACACGCGCTCTATATACCATTTGGAGGTGTGATCTACTGTGTTCCTGCCCCTGTGTCTCTGTCGAACATCGTCTGGCCTGGCAGTGTCTCATATTTTGGCATGAGGGCGTTGGAGAAACCAAATATGTTAACTGAAATCAACCACTTAGACATTTGTCAGAGACACGGATGGCCCTGTTATCTCAGGCGCCGCAATTAGCTCCGCTTTAGCGCAGCAGAGACCTATGATCATCAGTTCAAATCCAGGGTCGCCCTGATTATGTTTCTTTTGTCAGCACCATGTATACATGGGCTCGTGGGTTTCACCATAGTGGTCAACTTCTTAGACCCAATGAAGAAACAATTCCTCATCTATTTTGGGACTGTACCCATGTCCAAACTTTCTGGAAGTTATTTTCAGACTTAAAAGAGAAGTGTACCCATGTGTGCAATTTAAACCTTAGCCTTGAGCTCGTTATTTTTGTCCTCAAAAAGAATTTTGTTACAGATGAAACCTTTGAGCTGATATTGTAATGGCAAAAATTTACATTTACAAAGGCAAAGTTTCTTACACAACTCTAAGCTTGATACATTACGAAAGAGTTCTCCAGGATAGATGTATTGTTGAGAAGAACAGGTATTATGCCGAAAGTGAACAAGTGAAGTTTTATCAGAAATGGATGCTCTACCATTCTCTTTGTGAGTGACATACTTGGACATGTATGATATATTATTTGCTTACATTGAAATTGCGCTTCTTTGTCTAATGCTTGAACGATATATGAAGGTCCAGGGTGGAATAGGTCTTCAGCAACCCATGCTTGTTTTAAAAGGCGACTATGCTTGTCGTATGTGGCAATTAACTAACGGGATCGGGTGATCAGGTTCGCTGACTTGGTTGATGCATGTCATCGTTTCCAATTTGCATTGACCGATACTCATGACGACAATCACTGGATTGTCTGGTCCAGACTCGAATATTTACAGACCGCCGTCATATAGCTGGAATATTGCTGAGTGCGGCGTTAAGCAACAGACAAACAAACACACAAGACGATGTATCATAAATCTGCTGTATATACTCATAAACAGAGAGTGAACCTGTGAGTGAATGTGTTGTCCTTGTCCATTTTTAAAAAAATTATAAGAAACGAAGTCCTTTCTTACACCATTTATTTTTACATGGGGCTCCTGCAACCCCGGGCAGGGGCCTCTGTTTGTAACAGGAATTCCTGAAATAAAAAGAAAATTCTTAAAAATACCTTCGACCTGCATAACCTCGGACTTTCCTCCCCAGAAAACTGACGCGCTGCGATATTATTAAAATAATGTTCAGAGCGGCGTTAAAACCAACTCACTCATTCACTCATGCAGTATACAGTGATGGTTGTGTACCAAGATAGTTTAGAAAAAACCTCGTAACTGTACTTTTGAAATACATTTTATCATATCAGTTTGTTTAGTGGCATGAAAGCCAAGATAACTCACTCACTTTATTTTCATATGACTACATAATCTGCCATGGCTGGTTGGCAATTGAAAAAAACACCGTCTTCAAGTTGTGTCTTCTTTTGAATAGTAGATATAGCCATTAGAACGTGAAGTGTTTGACAGTAATGAACGGCACATGCGTTGAGTCGTCTGTCGTACAGACCCTGAAACAAATTTATCCAATATAGCCCATGCAAGTCTATAGTATTTGGCAAGTCTAGATTACTGCAGGATCTGAAAATGAAGAGAGTCTCGGGGCTCTTCTTTATTATATTTCATAATTATAATTTAACAACAGTTTGTTTTCTGTAAAATATGTTTATTTTAGAGACTATATTTTAGTCTAGTGGAGTCAACCACATGGTTAATTGCCCGGTAGAGTAGCCAGCATCACTTTCTCTCGTTTAGGAATTCACTTAGACATACATATTATGTACACCTTTGCTGAGATCATTGTCTATAATCTCTGAACAATAGAAACAAGCAATTATATTTAAATTGAAAAGGAGTCCCAGTGAGAGCGAGATTCTAGACTTGCTTTATTTAGGGGTATAGTATTACAATAAGGGCAGGACGGGAGGGAAAATAATATGGCCCAGCGACTGTGAGACAGACTACAAGTCAATGGACACTGCTAAATATAACACGTGGAATCTTTGGAATGTATGGCTAGCTGTCGGTTGATGGAATGCATGGGCCCGTGGACGAGGTACTGATACCAGGAGTGGGCATTTGGATTCTTAAAGAAGATGTATAACCATGAAAGCCCCACATCATAACGGTTACTTCCAGAAAAAAACCATGCATTCATACTGTGATGTAATCGTAATATGGTGGTGGGGATAGTTGTTCACACTCTATCGATCATTGATTGTCTGATTACTAGTATATGCAGTTCTAGGTATCCGTGCTGTGGCCGTGTTGTTGCTGAATGGATGGTTGGTTGGTTGGTTTGTTGTTCAACGCCGCACCCAGCAATATTCCAGCTATATGATGGCGGTCTGTAAATAATCGAGTCTGGACAGGACAATCAAGTGAGTGATATCATGAGCATCGATCTACGCAATTGGGATCGATGACATGCATCAACCAGGTCAGCGAGCCTGACCACCCGATCCCGTTAGTCGCCATTTACGACAAGCATAGTCACCTTTTACGGCAAGCATGGGTTGCTGAAGACCTATCCTACCCCGGATCTTCACGGGTCTGTTGCTGAATGGCGACAACGACGTAAAAGACAATTCACTCATTCGCTCGGTGAGGCGAAAATTGAAAAAGAAGACACGTAAAACTTATTAATTTGCATATATGTTCTTTTTAATGGCCAATGACCAGTTATGTGGCATATACTTTCACTCCGATAGATCTCTTTGACACATATTAGAGTGAATATTCGCAATAGCACATGCAAATGTATGTGAAGATTATGTTGTGGTATTACACGTTGATGTATTTGTCTTCAGAAGCCCTGATATACAGGTACATCGATATGTTCATAAAAATATTGTAATTTTAGATTAGCGTTGTTTCATGAAATAAATGTTTATTGTACATGCAGACATATGCTAATACTTTGTCCATGAAAACATTTCTCTTAAATACTTGTACTTTGGTTTTAAAGGAACCTATCCTCGTCTGCCGTTTATTTAAATACTGTGTCGCCTATGACTACGTTAAAGTTCCCATTACATCTGAAGAAACGTTGAGCAGCGAAAGATCTTGTGTGGATAAAGGAGTTTAGACAAGCAACAAAACCTGGACTCTAGTTTAGCTTAATTTGGACCTGCCTTGGCTTTTAGTAAAAAAGTTCGTTTAAAAAAAAAATAATTCCACAGTTATTGAGCAGGACTAATGTCGACACTTCGATCTTGACTGCCCATTTCGCCTGATATACAAAGGCCTGGGACGTGACTCTTCCCTAGAATCCGATCTGCTGTCTAAACTGAACTTTCCGAACATGTTCCAAGCAAGGTTTGGACAGATTTCACTGTACTGTGACAAACAAAGTCGTCTGCTTCAATTGGCCCGGTTTCCTATTTTATATGATACATATTGTCACAGAAAAATAATAAGTACGTGTTGGAGAATTAATCCTGTCACATTCAACATTCAGCGCAATTTGATGGCAGATTGAGTCAAAGCCGATAAACCTGATATTCTGAAAGCCACCATTGTCATACAGAGATAAGCCACCATTGACGGGCATGTTCACATACACGTTTATATTTGATAAGCTATACGATAGTTCAAGGGCGATAATAATTAAATGTCTCGAAGACCTAGCGTGATCGGTTATCGCTGTGGGTGAGCAATGACTTTGTACTGGGATAGACAAGCAATTTGTCAAAACTCCCCGTTTTGTTTCCCCAACCGTTGCAATAATGGCGTTTCTCCACGGTGATGCTGCTAATATTACCGGTGCGTTCTTGTTTAACAATGTTGTATTATTGGTGCCCCTTCCTTGATCCTTCTGCATTATTGGTATCTCCCTCTTTGATCCTTCTGCATTATTGGTATCTCCCTCCTTGATCCTGCTGCATTATTGGTGTCCCCCTCCTTGATCCTGCTGCATTATTGGTGTATCCTTTCTTGATCCTGTTGCATTATTGGTGTCCCCATCCGTGATCCTGCTGCATTATTGGTATCTCCCTCTTTGATCCTGCTGCATTATTGGTGCCCCCTCCTTGATCCTGCTTAATTTTGGCGTCTCCTTTCTTGATCCTGCTGTATTATTGGCGTCTCCTTTCTTGATCCTGCTGCATCATTGATTTTCTCCTTCCTTGATCCTGCTACATCATTAGTATCTTCCTCCTTGATCCTGCTGCATTATTGGCGTCTCCTTTCTTGATCCTGCTGCATCATTGGTATCTCCCTCCTTGATCCTGCTGCATTATTGGCGTCTCCTTTCTTGATCCTGCTGCATCATTGGTTTTCTCCTTCCTTGATCCTGCTGCATCATTGGCGTCTGCTTTCATGATCCTGCTGCATCATTGGTTTTCTCCTTCATTGATCCTGATGCATCATTGGTATCTTCCTCCTTGATCCTGCTGCATCATTGGCGTCTGCTTTCATGATCCTGCTGCATCATTGGTTTTCTCCTTCATTGATCCTGCTGCATTATTGGCGTCTCCTTTCTTGATCCTGCTGCATCATTGGTTTTCTCCTTCCTTGATCCTGCTGCATCATTGGCGTCTGCTTTCATGATCCTGCTGCATCATTGGTATCTCCCTCCTTGATTCTGCTGCATTATTGGCGTCTCCTTTCTTGATCCTGCTGCATCATTGGTTTTCTCCTTCCTTGATCCTGCTGCATCATTGGCGTCTGCTTTCATGATCCTGCTGCATCATTGGTTTTCTCCTTCATTGATCCTGATGCATCATTGGTATCTTCCTCCTTGATCCTGCTGCATCATTGGCGTCTGCTTTCATGATCCTGCTGCATCATTGGTTTTCTCCTTCATTGATCCTGATGCATCATTGGTATCTTCCTCCTTGATCCTGCTGCATTATTGGCGTCTCCTTTCTTGATCCTGATGCATCATTGGTATCTTCCTCCTTGATCCTGCTGCATTATTGGCGTCTCCCTCCTTGATCCTGCTGCATTATTGGCGTCTCCTTTCTTGATCCTGCTGCATCATTGGTATCTTCCTCCTTGATCCTGCTGCATTATTGGCGTCTCCTTTCTTGATCCTGCTGCATCATTGGTTTTCTCCTTCCTTGATCCTGCTGCATCATTGGCGTCTGCTTTCATGATCCTGCTGCATCATTGGTTTTCTCCTTCATTGATCCTGATGCATCATTGGTATCTTCCTCCTTGATCCTGCTGCATTATTGGCGTCTCCCTCCTTGATCCTGCTGCATTATTGGCGTCTCCTTTCTTGATCCTGCTGCATCATTGGTTTTCTCCTTCCTTGATCCTGCTGCATCATTGGCGTCTGCTTTCATGATCCTGCTGCATCATTGGTTTTCTCCTTCATTGATCCTGATGCATCATTGGTATCTTCCTCCTTGATCCTGCTGCATTATTGGCGTCTCCTTTCTTGATCCTGCTGCATCATTGGTTTTCTCCTTCCTTGATCCTGCTGCACCATTGGCGTCTGCTTTCATGATCCTGCTGCATCATTGGTTTTCTCCTTCATTGATCCTGATGCATCATTGGTATCTTCCTCCTTGATCCTGCTGCATTATTGGCGTCTCCTTTCTTGATCCTGCTGCATCATTGGTTTTCTCCTTCTTTGATCCTGCTGCATTATTGACGTCTCCTTTCTTGATCCTGCTGCATCATTGGTTTTCTCCTTCCTTGATCCTGCTGCATCATTGGTATCTCGCTCCTTGATCCTTCTGCATTATTGGTATCTCCCTCCTTGATTCTGCTGCATTATTGGCGTCTCCTTTCTTGATCTTGCTGCATCATTGGTATCTCCTTCCTTGATCCTGCTGCATTATTGGTGTCCCCCTCCGTGATCCTGCTGCATAATTGGTGTCTCCCTCCTTGGCCCTGCTGCATTATTGGTATCTTCTCCTTGATCCTGTTGCATTATTGGCGTCTTCCTCCTTGATCATACCCTGCGATTGATGTATCCATCGATCCTTGATCATGCTGGTGTTTTTCTCATTGATCATGCATTACTAAATGACTCCATGCACCCTCGTAAAGGGTCGTATTAGTGTCCATGATGACTCCATAATAACCTGGTATTCCTTTCTCTTTGTTGGAATTCTATTCATTTTATCTAAATACTGTGAAAAGAAAATGTTTTTATCTGGTCGGATTAGGTATGGGAATTAAATGTCATCAAATAGCGTCGCATACATTAAAATTCATGACATTGTGATGATTCTCTTCTTTCAAACGACATTTTCTTATGCAAGGGAGGTAACTAGTAGTTCATCCGGGCATTTGCAAAATGGATGCCCCCATGTGAAACATGCTGAGAGATTGAACAGTAAATAAATAGCATCCAAGACCATGCCGATCGACACACGGAGATTGACTGGCCCCGAAGGAACGATCAGTCCATACTCTCTGGCCAAGAATGATCCTAACATATCGGTAATTCATGAGGTCACAGGTCATGTAAACAAACCTGACAGAACAAGTATGACAACCCATACATACTGACATAGGCTACATATGTATATAGGTATTGGTGAAGGTGATTTTATCAGTATATTGAACATGAAGCTGGCACACTTAGTAATACAAATACTGTGTTTTCAATGTAGAGCACGATTACCTGTAGATTTAACCGCTAATTTGAATTGGAACCAAACGTGCAGTAATTATGATTTTATTTTCTGTTGCATTTGTAATACATGTATGTGTAGCAGGACGTGGAGTCATCCCACAGATGACATCCTTACCTTGTCAGCTTGCTGACGGGGTTAACCCTTTGAGATTAGAAGGTCCGTGGCTTGAATCCCATCACGGGACTCGGTCATTTTATGGCCGCTACGTAGCCTGCAACCTCGGGGTATCGCGGTACTTGTCATGTACGCTAAACGGAACAAAATGCACTCACTAACCTTTATGTTTATTCGTGTTCTCTGTATCAGATATCATTCATGTTATCAAGCAATGCATATTTTACTGATAAAAGTTCATTATTTACATCAGTAGCTCCGAGTAAAAGCCGGGCCTCGCGCTCTGTTTGAGAAGGGAGAGAACTCCATCGTATCGCGGTACAGCGAAAAGTTGTGTATGGAGGTCCGAATTGGACAAAAAGAGGACATAATTCTACCAACCACTTGGTATGATCATGCCAGACATCAGTGATTTGTCCAGCCAAGTGCAAAGACAGCACAAATAAAATTCTAAATGTGTTATCAGCAATAGGTATTCAATGCATATTTACCGAAAAGTAAGAGAAAAATATTTTTATAAGTCAACATCAAAATATTAGAAATGATATATATAGTTCATGTAAATAGTAAATGACAGCTCGAACAGGATTGCCTGAAATATGCTATCCAGTTGCTGTATATTTTATCAATTGGTAGTGTTAAATACTGGTGGTTTTGTTGTAATGTTCCTGTTTTATGTTTTATACGTGTTACGTTTCATGATCACAGTGCACTGGTACATATTAGATGAAGCTAAGCAACGTCAGTCTCAGAGACAAGTTGGATGGGTGACCACGTTCAGTAGCTTGACTCCTGAGAATTTCTAGGGCTTTGGTCTTGCTCACATTGAAGCACATGTAGCACATGTGGTGTCTCCTTGGGCAGGGGGCATGGGTGGCCCAGTCGTCTAAGGCGCCGCAATTCGCTGTGCAGAGTTGCGTCCCTTGGGCACGCCAGAAACCTATGATTGTGGGTTCGAATCCCCGTTCGCCCCGATAATGTTTCTAGGTTTGTCAGCACCATCCCCGTGCTCGTGGGTTTCACCGAAGTGGTAAACGTCTGAGACCTGCATCACTTCGGGCTTTCCTCCCACATTAAGCTGACACGCCGTGATATAACTGGAATACTGTTAAAAGCGGCGTTAAACCCAACTCACTCACTCACTCTCCTTGGGCAACTGACTTTGTTCGAAATGTATCTCTGTTCAACCAGCAGTGAGTGGGTACCCGGTAGGATGTGATGCTAATGTGCCTGTTAACCTTCTAGTGCCTCACAGGCAGCTTGGGTTGTATACTCCCCAATGAGATGAGAATGAAAATGGAGTACACACTGATCCATTCTCCAGGGTAATAATGTCGTGCTTTGAGCACACTTTAGGACATGGATTTGGCGCATTATTAATATGCACATTATTATATATCTTGCAAAATGATCACCCTGATACAGGGACATTTGGGTAGCCTGGAGGTTATAGTGTTCTCTCATCACGCCAAGTACCTAGGTTTAATTCCCAGATGTGTGGAGTCCATTCTTGAAGTTATCTGTCATGATGTGGCTGTAATTTTGCTTTAAGCAGTGCTAAACCCAGCCATCTAACAAGTCTATACAGCACTGATTACAATGTGAATGGAAGTCCTACTGATAAATGTAAGGACTGTTGACATATTTCTGTGACAGGTAGTGGAAGGAAGTGAGCGCGCTGATGGCAGGAAGCCTGACAAAGTTAGGCCTCTATGTAAGTACGATGATCTTCAGCAGGACAAACATCTATTGCTTAAAGTATACAACTGGAAATAGTTAATCTCTTTTCCTTTTGTATTTTCATTTCTTCCAAACTTTCATATGTCTTTTGGATATATCTATTAATCTAAATAGTGATGGGTATTGGCCTGAAATTCGTTTCACAATTTATTGCAATAATGATTCATGTATTGTGATATGTAACACAAAGTATTGCATGTGTTTTTTCATCTGTAATTGGTTATGAAGTTGAATATAGAAAACTTTCCTCTCCCATTTTTGACAACGTCATATTTTGTTGGTTTTTGCTATGGTCACAACAGATGAAATAATGGACACATTATGTACAGGTAATAGGTCACAAATAGTTTTGCATTTTTGATCACAGGAAACAGCTGCTAATTTCAAAATTTCACTTTGTCTTGTCAATTGTTGTCACGTATGTAAACTTTTCCAACCAGCTGAAGATATGCATGATTATAAAAAATGCAATAGACCGGTATTTTCCAAACGTTTTATGTTACCACCGATCCCACATACCCGATGTTTGTATAAGGACACTATGCTCCTGCAGATGGTCGCATGGACTGGGTCATATTTAATGTGAAGAAACAGGAAGCAGTTGAAAGAGTAGTCAGATAACTAGTGCCACGGAACAGTGACAAAACGTTATTAGATAATCACTTTTGATATATTGATATAGGACTGTCACATTGTGAACAAACGAATGAGTTTAGTCAGGAAATTAATACAGGATACAAATGTAAAAAAATGGCTAGTTTATATGGAAATATACAGTAGTGCTTATATTAGCAGTGCTTAACTTTTTTCCATGTGTTTATTAACAAGATGACAGTAGACTGTGATGAATGATGTGAAATAACTGATACACAGACTGAAGGAATAATATGATTAGTGTATTACATTGTATACTCTTGTTTCAGTTTTACGAGCAGGACTGATCACCCAGGCTCGAGGATCAGCCTACATTGAACAGAATGAAACAAAAGTCATTTGTGCTGTGTAAGTGTCTAGAATTAGTTCAAATAAGTTGGAGGAGCAATTCAGAAGGTCAATGTAGGATAAAATTTTCCTTTTTTGAGATATACCCCCAACTTCATTGTGAAGGTGTTGACATCCTAAAAGTGTCTCTTTTGTCAAGTGAATCTTACCCTGCATCTCTCAATCATGCTTTCGTTATTTCTCCTCTGGATTATTACAATGCTCTTGTGTATGAGTTGCCTGAATACCAGAGACTCAGCGTGTTGAAAACGTTGCTGCCAGAGTGGTAACCGTGCTAGAACGTACGAACATTTTACATCTGTACTAATGGAACTACACTGGCTCCCGATCACAAAGCGCATAGAACTCAAAATACTTGTGTTAGTTTACAAAGCCCTTCATGACATCGGTGCACCTTACATCGGTAAATTGATACAGCAATATCAACCAGTAAGATTCCTCAGGTCAGTTAACAGTCAGCTTCTGTTTGGTCCCCGAACCAGAACTATGCCAGTCCAGTGCTTTGGAACAACATCCCCATCAACATCAAAAGTATCAACTAATTTAAAGGGACTGTTAGAAACCTTTGTTCCAATCTGCCAACAAGTCATTGAACATTGTCTTTGGCCACCAAACTCATGCGAAAGTGCCTTTGAGCAGATCCAATCTGGAAATTGGCGCTATATAAATTAATTGTTATTACACTGCAATAATGTGGAACTTCCAGTATGTCAAGTTGGAGATATGGAGATTAATTTTGTAATTAACATCAGAGTGATTAGTGCCATTAATACTTGTGATGTCAAGTATTATTATCATTATTATGGATAACTTCTTTATTATAAATACGTTACAAAGAAGGAATACTTCTTGCCACTTCATCAAATGAATGAACATGTTATATCCATATGACTCCTTGTCCTGATTACTTCAGATTCTGTTATTGTTTGAATTCAACTGTAAACTGTGTAGCAGCCATAAAATCTCCGAGTCCTGTGATGGGATTAGAACCAGAAATAGGAAAAGATGATATGAGGAATGTAACTTGCAGTTGCCAGAGACCATGTTCAGTGCATTTGTCCAGTTATTATTTGAAAACTCTTATATTGTTTCAGCTATGGTCCGCGAGAAGTGGTACGCAAAGAAGACTTCAGCATGAAAGGTCAACTGACTTGTGAGTTCAAGTTTGCTACGTTTTCGTGTCGGCTGAGACGCAAACATCAGCAGGATAGTGAGGAGAAAGACTTCTCTGTGCAGCTGCTTGAAGCACTGGAGCCAGCCGTCTGTTTGGTAAGAGTTATCTCCCTTCAATGAACAAGAACTTCATCACAAACTGGTCTGGTCAATTGTTATAGGAGCATGATACCAAAAGACGTTAGAAGATTGTATTTGTTGTTACCCTGCCTGACGCTTTGCATTCAGAAGGTAAGACAAGAACTGTTTGGCTTGGAGTCAGCATACAGTGTCTGAGTCGGGTGTCCATATCAAACTGTAGCATTGAATGTCAGTGGGGTAGTCATGCGCCATGACTGTGGAATATATATATGTACTAAAAGCCTTGGCAAGTCTAGATCAAACTAATACAAGTCTAGTCTCCTTGATTCCACGTATGAAAGAAGAGGAAAGGCTTTTTTGAAGAAAAGAAATTACAATTATTTTAAAGAAATGTTTTCATAGACCATTGTGTATGAAATCAGCAGGTGAGGAAAGATTGAAGAAAAAAAATACAATTCTTTTGAAGAAATGTTTTCATAGACTAGGTGTTAGTCTATCAGTGGGGTAGCACTGAACATTTCAACTTTTCATCAATACATTGATATCATGTATTCAACCTTGTTAATAAAAAAACCCGAGTGTGTGATTAAAGGAAAGAAATTATCTTGAATATATATCCCAGGCCTCTTTTGATGTACTTATTTATATAATAATTACTGAATAATTAAAAGAATTCCAAAACATTTTCAGCACAAGTTCCCAAAGTCACAGGTGAATGTGTATGTGACAGTGCTGCAGAACGCCGGCAGTGGTATGTCCATACCTTCTTGCATAGAATTTATTGGAACAAAATGTAAAGACAAGTGAAAGTTCTTTGATAATGTCTGCTTTGTTGAAGTGAACTGAAAATGGATCATGTGCCTTGAAAATAGATAATGTGGCTTGAAAATGAATATTGTTCCTTGACAATGCTTGTAATATTCTTACTCTAATACTAACATAATCCATATCCTAAGTATATTACTAAAACTTCTTTGAATTTTTAGGAAAAACAGTAACCTCCCCTTAAATATACTCTGATATTTCTGTTCCATGCAGCACTGGCGGCATCCATCACATGTGCTGCACTGGCGCTAGCTGATGCTGGCATAGAGATGTATGACCTTGTCACTGGGTGTTCTGCAGTAAGTAGGGGCTGGCATAGAGATGTATGACCTTGTCACCTGGTGTAGAGATGTATGACCTTGTCACTTGGCGTAGAGATGTATGACCTTGTCACTTGGCATAGAGATGTATGACCTTGTCACTTGGCGTAGAGATGTATGACCTTGTCACTTGGAGTAGAGATGTATGACCTTGTCACTTGGCATAGATATGTATGACCATGTCACCGGGTGTTCTGCAGTAAGTCGGGTCTGGCATAGAGATATATGACCTTGTCACTGGGTGTTCTGCAGTAAGTAAGGGCTGGCATAGAGATGTATGACCTTGTCACTTGGCGTAGAGATGTATGACCTTGTCACTTGGCGTAGAGATGTATGACCTTGTCACCGGGTGTTCTGCAGTAGGTAGGGTCTGGCATAGAGATAAATGACCTTGTCACTGGGTGTTCTGCAGTAAGTAAGGGCTGGCATAGAGATGTATGACCTTGTCACTTGGCGTAGAGATGTATGACCTTGTCACCGGGTAATCTGCAGTAAGTAGGGTCTGGCATAAAGATGTATGACCTTGTCACTGGGTGTTCTGCAGTAAGTAGGGGCTGGCATAGAGATGTATGACCTTGTCACTAGGTGTTCTGCAGTAAGTAGGGTCTGGCATAGAGATATATGACCTTGTCACTGTGTGTTCTGCAGTAAGTAAGGGCTGGCATAGAGATGTATGACCTTGTCACTTGGCGTAGAGATGTATGACCTTGTCACTTGGCGTAGAGATGTATGACCTTGTCACCGGGTGTTCTGCAGTAAGTAGGGTCTGGCATAGAGATATATGACCTTGTCACTGGGTGTTCTGCAGTAAGTAAGGGCTGGCATAGAGATGTATGACCTTGTCACTTGGCGTAGAGATGTATGACCTTGTCACCGGGTGTTCTGCAGTAAGTAGGGTCTGGCATAAAGATGTATGACCTTGTCACTGGGTGTTCTGCAGTAAGTAGGGTCTGGCATAAAGATTTATGACCTTGTCACTGGGTGTTCTGCAGTAAGTAGGGTCTGGCATAAAGATGTATGACCTTGTCACTGGGTGTTCTGCAGTAAGTAGGGTCTGGCGTAGAGATGTATGACCTTGTCACTGTGTGTTCCGCAGTAAGTAGGGGCTGGCATAAAGATGTATGACCTTGTCACTGGGTGTTCTGCAGTAAGTAGGGTCTGGCATAGAGATGTATGACCTTGTCACTGGGTGATCTGCAGTAAGTAGGGTCTGGCATAGAGATGTGTGACCTTGTCACCGGGTGTTCTGCAGTAAGTAAGGGCTGGCATAGAGATGTATGACCTTGTCACTGGGCGTAAAGATGTATGACCTTGTCACCGAGTGTTCTGCAGTAAGTAGGGTCTGGCATAGAGATGTATGACCTTGTCACTGGGTGTTCTGCAGTAAGTAGGGTCTGGCATAGAGATGTATGACCTTGTCACTGGGTGTTCTGCAGTAAGGAGGGTCTGGCGTAGAGATGTATGACCTTGTCACTGTGTGTTCCGCACTAAGAAGGGGCTGGCATAAAGATGTATGACCTTGTCACTGGGTGTTCTGCAGTAAGTAGGGTCTGGCATAGAGATGTATGACCTTGTCACTGGGTGATCTGCAGTAAGTAGGGTCTGGCATAGAGATGTGTGACCTTGTCACTGGGTGTTCTGCAGTAAGTAGGGGCTGGCATAAAGATGTATGACCTTGTCACTGGGTGTTCTGCAGTAAGTAGGGGCTGGCATAAAGATGTATGACCTTGTCATTGGGCGTAGAGATGTATGACCTTGTCACTGGGTGTTCTGCAGTAAGTAAGGGCTGGCATAAAGATGTATGACCTTGTCACTGGGTGTAGAGATGTATGACCTTGTCACTGTGTGTTCTGCAGTAAGTAGGGTCTGGCATAGAGATGTATGACCTTGTCACTGGGTGTTCTGCAGTAAGGAGGGTCTAGCGTAGAGATGTATGACCTTGTCACTGTGTGTTCCGCACTAAGAAGGGGCTGGCATAAAGATGTATGACCTTGTCACTGGGTGTTCTGCAGTAAGTAGGGTCTGGCATAGAGATGTATGACCTTGTCACTGGGTGATCTGCAGTAAGTAGGGTCTGGCATAGAGATGTGTGACCTTGTCACTGGGTGTTCTGCAGTAAGTAGGGGCTGGCATAAAGATGTATGACCTTGTCACTGGGTGTTCTGCAGTAAGTAGGGGCTGGCATAAAGATGTATGACCTTGTCATTGGGCGTAGAGATGTATGACCTTGTCACTGGGTGTTCTGCAGTAAGTAAGGGCTGGCATAAAGATGTATGACCTTGTCACTGGGTGTAGAGATGTATGACCTTGTCACTGTGTGTTCTGCAGTAAGTAGGGTCTGGCATAGAGATGTATGACCTTGTCACCGGGTGTTCTGCAGTAAGTAAGGGCTGGCATAGAGATGTATGACCTTGTCACTGGGCGTAAAGATGTATGACCTTGTCACTGGGTGTTCTGCAGTAAGTAGGGTCTGGCATAAAGATGTATGACCTTGTCACTGGGTGATCTGCAGTAAGTAGGGTCTGGCATAGAGATGTATGATCTTGTCACTAGGTGTTCTGCAGTAAGTAGGGTCTGGCATAGAGATGTATGACCTTGTCACTGGGTGTTCTGCAGTAAGTAGGGTCTGGCATAGAGATGTATGACCTTGTCACAGGGTGTTCTGCAGTAAGTAGGGGCTGGCATAGAGATGTGTGACCTTGTCACTGGGTGTTCTGCAGTAAGTAGGGGCTGGCATAAAGATGTATGACCTTGTCACTGGGTGTTCTGCAGTAAGTAGGGTCTGGCATAAAGATGTATGACCTTGTCATTGGGCGTAGAGATGTATGACCTTGTCACTGGGTGTTCTGCAGTAAGTAAGGGCTGGCATAAAGATGTATGACCTTGTCACTGGGTGTAGAGATGTATGACCTTGTCACTGTGTGTTCTGCAGTAAGTAGGGTCTGGCATAGAGATGTATGACCTTGTCACCGGGTGTTCTGCAGTAAGTAAGGGCTGGCATAGAGATGTATGACCTTGTCACTGGGCGTAAAGATGTATGACCTTGTCACTGGGTGTTCTGCAGTAAGTAGGGTCTGGCATAAAGATGTATGACCTTGTCACTGGGTGATCTGCAGTAAGTAGGGTCTGGCATAGAGATGTATGACCTTGTCACTAGGTGTTCTGCAGTAAGTAGGGTCTGGCATAGAGATGTATGACCTTGTCACTGGGTGTTCTGCAGTAAGTAGGGTCTGGCATAGAGATGTATGACCTTGTCACTGGGTGTTCTGCAGTAAGTAGGGTCTGGCATAGAGATGTATGACCATGTCACTGGGTGTTCTGCAGTAAGTAGGGTCTGGCATAGAGATGTATGACCTTGTCACAGGGTGTTCTGCAGTAAAGAGGGTCTGGCGTAGAGATGTATGACCTTGTCACCGGGTGTTCTGCAGTAAGTAGGGGCTGGCATAGAGATGTATGACCTTGTCACTTGGCGTAGAGATGTATGACCTTGTCACTTGGCGTAGAGATGTATGACCTTGTCACTTGGCATAGAGATGTATGACCATGTCACCGGGTGTTCTGCAGTAAGTCGGGTCTGGCATAGAGATATATGACCTTGTCACCGGGTGTTCTGCAGTAAGTAAGGGCTGGCATAGAGATGTATGACCTTGTCACTTGGCGTAGAGATGTATGACCCTGTCACCGGGTGTTCTGCAGTAAGTAGGGTCTGGCATAGAGATGTATGACCTTGTCACTGGGTGTTCTGCAGTAAGTAGGGGCAGGCATAGAGATGTATGACCTTGTCACTGGGCGTAAAGAAGTATGACCTTGTCACTGGGTGTTCTGCAGTAAGTAGGGTCTGGCAAAAAGATGTATGACCTTGTCACTTGGCGTAGAGATGTATGACCTTGTCACCGGGTGTTCTGCAGTAAGTAGGGTCTGGCATAGAGATGTATGACCTTGTCACTGGGCATAAAGATGTATGACCTTGTCACCGGGTGTTCTGCAGTAAGTAGGGTCTGGCATAAAGATGTATGACCTTGTCACTGGGTGTTCTGCAGTAAGTAGGGTCTGGCATAGAGATGTATGACCTTGTCACTGGGTGTTCTGCAGTAAGTAGGGTCTGGCGTAGAGATGTATGACCTTGTCACTGTGTGTTCCGCAGTAAGAAGGGGCTGGCATAGAGATGTATGACCTTGTCACTGGGTGTTCTGCAGTAAGTAGGGTCTGGCATAGAGATGTATGACCTTGTCACTGGGTGATCTGCAGTAAGAAGGGGCTGGCATAGAGATGTATGACCTTGTCACTGGGTGTTCTGCAGTAAATAGGGTCTGGCATAGAGATGTATGACCTTGTCACTGGGTGTTCTGCAGTAAGTAGGGTCTGGCATAAAGATGTATGACCTTGTCACTGGGTGTTCTGCAGTAAGTAGGGGCTGGCATAGAGATGTATGACCTTGTCACTGGGCGTAAAGATGTATGACCTTGTCACTAGGTGTTCTGCAGTAAGTAGGGTCTGGCATAGAGATGTATGACCATGTCACTGGGTGTTCTGCAGTAAGGAGGGTCTGGCGTAGAGATGTTTGTCCTTGTCACTGTGTGTTCTGCAGTAAGTAGGGGCTGGCATAAAGATGTATGACCTTGTCACTAGGTGTTCTGCAGTAAGTATGGTCTGGCATAAAGATGTATGACCTTGTCACTGGGTGTAGAGATGTATGACCTTGTCACTGTGTGTAGAGATGTATGACCTTGTCACTGGGTGTTCTGCAGTAAGTAGGGTCTGGCATAGAGATGTATGACCTTGGCACTTGGTGTAGAGATGTATGACCTTGTCACTGGGTGTAGAGATGTATGACCTTGTCACTGGGTGTAGAGATGTGTGACCTTGTCACTGGGTGTAGAGATGTATGACCTTGTCACTGGGTGTAGAGATGTATGACCTGGTCACTGGGTGTAGAGATGTATGACCTGGTCACTGGGTGTAGAGATGTATGACCTTGTCACTAGGTGTAGAGATGTATGACCTTGTCACTGGGTGTTCTACTGTAAGTAGGGTCTCTGGAATTGAATTTTCTCTCATGAAGACGATAATCTTACTCTGAAACAAGTTTAGTACAGCTGTAGTTGAATTTTTTAGATTGCAAAAGTTGACATACAGTAAACTACATTTATAACTAGCACGCTTAAAACGAACTGACCGATATAACAGACTATTTCTTGGTTCCGTCCATTTACTATATATATCTTGTACATATGCTTATAACGAACTACGGTTATAGTGAATTAAAGTTAGTGGTCCCTTTGAGTTCATTATAACCATAGTTTACTGTAGATCTCAAAACAAGAACCTGTTGTGTGACTATATATCTACATATTGTGTCTGGTGACAGCGGGTGCGAGGAGACACTATCCTACTGGATCCCACCGAGTCGGAGGAGTACAAGCCGGAGCAGACGGCCGAGAAGAACAATGGTTCTGTGACTGTGGGTCTGATGCCGTCACTCAATCAGGTGTCCGCCATCACTTCCAAGGGGGAGATTGACTTCCAGCTGGCCACCAAGGTGAGGAGGAGGAGCTGGGGGCACTAGATGGGGGAGCTTCAACATGGGGAACTCTGCACATGGTTAAACAGTCGACTCTGTCGGACCAAGCCTCATGAAAAACATGTGGGTTTAGACAAAGTGCGGGTTCAAGTAGAGAATGCTGATTTAACCTTGCACGCCTACCTATTCTAGACATGTTGACACTTGCAACACATCAGCAAATTGGTTAACTCTGTCACTGTTAATCCATGCTTAGATATGTACCAATACCTGCCTTCTGTGTGTCATTTTGAAGACATGCTACGCCAAGTTAATTGAGTGTTTGTTTACGGTGGAGTGATTGTTTAGTGCCAGATAAGAGAAGTATTTTCTAGGTAAATTGGTAATTGGAACTGCCAAACAGTGCCGGAATCTTGAATAGACAAAGGCCGGTTTACACAAAGATTATTACATGACATTATCACTACAAGCTGCCAGGACTAAATTAGAAATGCCTGTTTGGAAAGAGTACAGGATGAGACAAAGGCAGGTTTAGACAGTCCACTGTATCTTGTTTGGCGAAAGAGGCGGCCCAATTGTCTATGTCACTGTCATTTACTTTGCAGAGTTATGTCCCTTAGCCATTCTTGGCTACACTGGCCTGCTAAGGTTCTCAAGTGAAGAATAAATAAACATACAGAAAAAATGGTCAAATTTATTTTTTAGTATTGGACTGTTTTTTAAAAACCTTTATAAATATAGGGCAGGTTGATAAAATGTAGGTATGGTCTGGTCTCATTGGGTATGTCTCTGTTTCACCCTCTAGGCTATCAAGGATTGTGTGGAGACATGTCAGCGTCTGTACCCCGTGTTACAGCAGGCCCTGGAGACAGCACTCAAACAGAGGCTGAAGGATGCTGACACAGGATGAGGCTCCAAACCAGTCAATGTTACCTTGTACATTATATATAAATAGCATTTAAAACAGAGTGCATTTGTGTGTCATTATTTCCTTTAGGTAGTAGATGTGAAAAGGCCATACACTTATCATATGTATTGATGCTCATGATATCGACCGCTGGTTGATGATCATGCTATCATACAACTGTTGTAAATGAATACCTACCCAATGGAGTATGCCAGTTTGTCCTGATGTCATAAACATCTACTCAAAAACCACTTGACCAATGATGCTGAAACTTCCCTTGCTTGTTCCCACCTATGATGATGCCCCAATTTTTTCAACAGGTCCAAATCTGAATATATGGAAAGAGCTTTATATGGTCATTACTCATTATTTTTGTTGAAAATACAATGAAATTTGGTATTTGTTTAGTTAGTTGTAGGATTCACACAATTTGTTCTGTATTTTGCAATGTTTTTAATTTGACATTGTTTTGACCATGCTCTTATTTTATCTAAAAAACGGAGGGACTTATGACATTTGTTTCTCCTTAAGATGACTTCATGTGTTTTTTAAATCATTAGATTTTAATGTTATTTTTGTATGGAAACAATATTTTTTAAGTTGTCTATCTTTGTAAGTGAGTGAGTTGGGTTAACGCAGCCTTTAACAGTATTCCAGTCTTATCACGGCATGTCATCTTAATGTGGGAGGAAAGCCCAAAGTGATGCTGACTCTTGCTTAGTGTCTGTCTTTGTTTTACAAAATCCTAAGACTGGAACAAGCCAAACTGATCTTGTCTAGAGAATTTGATTAGTGCCATACTGATTCCAAGCTTTGTTGTGACCCTGTCTGGCCTCAGCATTAAGTGTGTAAAAAAAGGACTGGTCGGCTCGGAGTCAGTATACTGTGTCTGTGTGGGGTATTCATGTTAAACTGCGGCATGGTATCTCAGTGGGCTAGCACTATATAATCATTCCGGACAAGTACAAGCGCACGCACGCACGCACGCACACACACACACACACACACACACACACACACACACACACACACACACACATGTGCATCGCCATATAAGTGCAATAATCTTGGACTGGAGGATAAACCCCACTTCATCTCACCTCACAGACGCCTGGTATTCACATGTGACCTGCATATGTTTTGCATCAGAACAAGTTGACCCAGTGTGGGGATGGTGTGTTGTAGAGTACTCAACAAATGTTTTCAGGTACCTCTCAACCAATGTTGAAAAGGACTTGATGTAGCCTTCATTTGTAAGTAATTGTCGTTTTTTATGAACAAATTCCAGTACTGGCTTGGTAATGTGGGTGCGTTTACTTTGCGTGTTTTAGTTTTACTCGGAATGTGCGTAGGCACAATGAGAAGCACACTGCACATAATGAAAACAACACAAGAATGTAAATAACCCATTCAGTTTTACCAAGTGCCCTTTTCAATTTCAATTCATTCAGACTTTTGACATTTTTGACAACGTAACGTGCGAAATCATGTCCTTGCACCACGCAAGAAGGCTAGTTGAAAGTTTGTGTAGGTTGGCCCGGTAAATATTCATAGATTTCTACAGGAACATGGAAGTTCGTCACTGAATGTTTCTGTTTCCCATGCAACATAATCGCATGCAGTCAAGTCAAGTCAAGTCAAAGAAGTTTATTGTACAAAAGGCCACCGGCCCATATACAAGAGAGAGTTACGCATGTAGATACAATCATATATGTTACACATTGGGATATACACGTTGTTTGATTAATTCATTTCTTTTTGCTAATGCATGCTTAATATAAAGAGAAAGATTTAATATATTTGATTCGTTCTTTGTCGTCAGCATAACTACAAAGGCGTTTATCGGTGACATTGCTATTAAATAATCTTTTATATATTTCTTTCGGAGATCATTGTAAAATGGACATACAAACACAAAATGAATTTCATTTTTTATCTCTAGCTTACACAATGGACAAATTCTTTTCATTTTTTCAATGGACAGTTTTCTTCCTTCATTTACAAATAGGTCTAGCAAACCAAGTCGATATTTAATTAACTGTTTTCTTAAGTTTTCCGTAGTGAGTACTGATAAATATATTTCTGGTTGAAGTAAAGTCTTGAAAGTTTTGTAATATTCATAACGCGAACTATCCTCTAAAGTGGAGTGCCATTCTTGGTAGAACATATTTATAGACCGATTCCGAAATTCATTAAGAAACATATTTACATTTCCAACTGACTGACATAGCCATATAAAACCAAAACCATGCGAAAATAAAATATTTCTTATATGCGATGTCCAAGTATTCTTTCCCATGTTATCTAAATGTAGAAGCATGTTATAGGCTAATTTGGGGAGACGTTGTTCATGCATATGAAGAATTTTAAACCAGTATTTTAAACATCTGATCTGAGAATTAATATATAATGGGTATCTACCACATTCGCCATAAACCATGCAATTTGGTGTAGAAGATCCGACACAAAGAAACTTTTTACATGCTAATAAATGAACCTTCTCTAAACAGTCATAACGTTGAAATCCCCATACTTCAGAACCATACAATAGAATTGGTTGTATCTGGGTATCGAAAAGCTTAAAGAAGATATTAGGTGACATCGATCCCACTATATGAGAAATAGACATTACACTCATTAAAGCTTTCTTTGCACGCAAGGACAAGTCAAGGGCACATTTTTTCCAATTCATTGTGTGTGAGAACCAGATTCCTAAATATAAGTAGTGATCTACTATATTGACTAACTGACCATCGAATGACCATCTCTCTTTCGACGCTATTGGACCACTAACATCTAACAAGTCATTTCTTTCCTAAATAACTTTCTGTAAGTCACACAATTCCGGAGAGAGTGAAGTGACTTGAAATAACGATAGCAGAGAAATAAGAGGTATTTTGACACCATTCTGTTAAGAATATCAGTGAAGGTGAAACCTACATTCTGCACGTCAGTAAACCGTTGGAGGTCAAGATTCTTGATGAAGCTTTTCATGGTTTGCCATTGCCAGGTCATTTCTCAATTCGTGTAAGAAGCACTTAAATTCGTGAATGGAATATAGACGAAAACAGCGCAAATTAATTAATGTGACTGACAAGGTAATGGATATTATGAGAGCAACGTCCATGGGCATGTTATGGTTCCGAAAAGCCAAGGATCATAATCAGGATATATCATGTGTTCGAACCCACGACCAGCGACTCCTGTCATAAAGGGACGCAACTATGCACGGTGCATGTAACTATTTCCGTTTGCGGGAACGTTTCTGCCACGAACCTCGGTTAAAACTGACGAAAAGACCCAGAGATGTGCAACCACTTCAAAGCCACTGAGCGCAAACGGCGATTTTGGTTTTGCGTCAGCTATATTTTTGACATGATCTTTAACCATCACTGTTTCGGAAATATTAAATACACAACATTTAAACAATACAAAAACAAATACACAACATACGCAATACCCGCTCAACATCACAAGCATAATGATGAGCGGAGTTTCAGCTCAGCCTCCTGGAGCTGCCTCCGAGCCGCACATCCTGCTCACTGTCGTTCGTACACAAACGGTCGGATAGATCTCCTAGACTACTCTACGTGAAGGTGGACATGTTATACAGTTTCACAAAACTGACAAGTAGACATCAATTTTACAATTGCTCATGTAACGGGTGTGGATTAAGAAAATGTGGAATAAACATAATGAGAAAGGCCCTATTGACTCAAGTTATTATTCAGGGGTGGGTAACATGGGCTGATTGACAAAGAGTGAGTGACTGGGGAATCGAACCCGAACCACGCTTAACCACTAGGCTACCAATGGGAACAATGGGCTGATTGACAATGAAGCACAAGCAATACATGTAAAATAGTAAGATGATAGGAATCCAAATTACAATATACATGTACTATACAAATAAATCAAACGTATGGAACATTTGATTCCAACACAATCGGCCCCACAAAGAGGCTACAAGGTCATGGAATTCGTCCACGTGAGTGATAGGTTTAGGAAGCGGCACATGACCTCAGACGACCTCAGTGAGCCATGTGCCGAGGAAAGAGGACGGTACTAGAGTTTACACGGTGTATAACCACTTCATCAGAAACAGATGTTTTCTTTCAAAATTTGCTGGTCACGCTAGTCTGCCTTACATACCCTGATACAAATATATCAAATACAGCCCATGTAAGTCTATAATGTTTGGCAAGTCTAGATTTCTGCAGTATCAGGAAAGAAGAGAGTTTCTGGGCTCCTTTTTATTAATTTTTTATTAAGATATTAAGATAATTTAACAACTATTTTTTTCTGTACGATATTTTCATTTCAGAGATTAGATGTTAGTCTATGGTCACGCCTAAGGGTCTAGTTCGATTTTCGACGTAAACACAATGGGTGAAGTCAATTCCTTGTGATCCTCGCTATTGGAGCAATCTTTTCTTAAAATGTTGTAAAACACAACTCATTCGCCCACTATTTATGTATGACCTACATGGGCGGATACAGCATTTTTTAAAAGGGGGGTCGGGGTGGGGGTGGGGGGTGGGGGGGGGGGGGGGGGTGGGGGGGGGGGTGCACAATTAAGATCTATTTATTGTCTTTGGTGGTAATTTATACAGAAATAAAGATTTTTTTCGAAATAAAAAGTGGGGTGCGCACCCCCGCAACGCCCCCCCCCCCCCCCCACCCCCCCCCCCCCCCCTCTTTGTATCCGCTCATGACCTATTCGTTCATAAGAACAAGCGCATATCACAATGGTTGCTGGTTCTCCGTGCAAGCATGATCATGCCACATGTGTGACAGCCTTGAGTTTCCTAACGTGACACCGTGTGATGGAGTGTTGTTACCAAAGGTTATCTGTATCTTGATGCTCCCCTGACTCAGTTGTACGTGCAGTATGTAGCCAAAGAAAGCTTCGATCTTTTACTTTGTGGACAGTGTGCAGAATGCGCAGAGTTGATGCATGAGAATAGTAAAATTGTGAGCTGAGAACTCCCTGCACTCACTGTGAATGGAACGACGATGTCCAGACAGGAAGAGGCAAATTCAATATGGCGTCAGTGTCAATGTGTTCTTGCAGCAACACTGTCAGATCAAGATTTTGAATACGCTTTAAGAATCGGTATTTTTATACCATACATGACAAGAATAATAAACATTTGTCAGTATATTTGGAGATTTGTTTGGAATCCCCCCCCTCATTAGCAATATCTCACATACTAGACAATATTGCAGTTCGGCGTCACGATCATTTGACTTTTCTAGACTAACTGAATTGACAAAATATTTAAAAAAAGATTAATCGTGTTTTTAGAGAATATTTCATTACATTGGGTTTTGCTTAAAGAAGAATAATTTGTTCCAGAATTTACCGGAAAAAATAACTTTGCCTTGAGTTCTCACACAAAACAATTGTTCTCTGGACATGGGCCTCATGGAAAAATAAGTTCGGGTCGCTCCTTTCAGAGAAAAAAATTGTATATTTTGAAGCCGTGACTAAACACATGTTTTGCACGTCCATATCTCCCCTCCCCACCACCACCACCACCACCACCACACATACAACGCCCGCAATAGACCGCCACCACCTTCTTCTTATCACGAAATGATAAATGTCGTATGTTTGACTGGAATCAAGTAAACTCTCGTATGCTTTATTTATATACACTAATTTTGCCAAGAAACCCTTTTCTTATCGTATATTTCTTCCAGTGCAGAAAACAGTTTTCCCCCAGTAGTTAATCCACGTGGTTTTTAAACGCTTACGTTGAAAGGGTGTTTGGGTGAAGTGAGAACCACACGCAGTCGATGCACTATTGACCCAATAACCCCCAGATTCCATGACCCAACTATTGCGAAGGAACCGCCGCACATGGTGAGGATGGGGGCACCGATACAGGCGTCTCTTATACGTCTCGACTACGTAACGCCACTGCGTTATCTTCAAGGCAACGTTTAGGGTTAGAGGTTGAAGAAATTCGACTCTCGCCATACGAGATGGGATTTATCAGAACGAGGTCTGTCATTGAACTTTGTCGAAACTTCAGTGACAGTGCCTCCAGTCTGGTCGGTGGTTCGCATGGGGTAACTTGGTTCGAAACATTCCAGGAATTCTGAACAATTCCGATTGGTTTGGTAAAAAAAGTTGGATGGTATTGTGAGCGCGAAGGGAAGTGTCGTCTGGTTGTGATTTCGCCGTCTGCTGCTATCGGAGCGAAATCAGGTGCTGAAGAAAGTACTACAGAAAACATGGATATGAGGGTCTTCCTATTCGTGTGTCTGTTGTCAGGTGAGTACGACTGGACAGGTAGGATATATATGTCTTTAGCAGGTAGGTGAAAAGTGTACCATCAGCCAAATACAGCGGAATAGGTGTGTTTGGACACGAATTGGTCTTGATTTTCACCATATCACCGCCAAATATTTCAGAGCGCTTTTAGGAAACACTTTAGATTTGATTTCCTTGGGATAACCGTGCCTTTAATTTATGATGCTTTTTGTTTAAAGCACTAAAACCATTTTGTTGCCATAGCTACAAGCATGAGCCTAACACTGCATGACAGATCACACATGTATGAAAGTTAAAATGGGTTTCAGTTCGTAATACTAATTCTATGTAAAAATCATTTATCTGTAAAAGTATGTATTACTCCCAGCAAACAAACTCAAAAAAGGAAATAACATAATGTTCCAGTGTATCTCATTAGTCATTCAACTTTCCCGGTGTCCGCTGGATCTATGGGGTTACGCCATTCTGCCACATATGTCCTTAGCTTATCTTGATGGTTAGCGACGAAATGGGCAACGTCAAAGTGTAACATATGTGATGGTTACCATTTGCGCGGATACCATGATTGTATAAGCTGTTCTTGGTAAACCTGCTACATTTTGTTATATGTGATATGAACACACATTTATAATACTAGCTGGACAAGAAACTGGTTAGTTGATTGCTATTGTGATAAGATGAGCAAGTCTGAGAATATTCCATTCAGTTATTTATGCAACTGCAAAATGAAAAAAGTCCAGATTTACCACAGGTTTTGAATCGCCCATCTCTCCGTCGCTCCGATTCAATTTAAATGGAGTTTTTTTGTTTCTATCTAAAATAGGGGGCACCGGTGGCCCAGTCGTCTAAGGCGCCGCGATTCGCTGTGCAGAGTTGCGTCCCTTGGTCACGCCAGAAACCTATGATTGTGGGTTCGAAACCCGGTTCACCCCGATTATGTTTCTAGGTTTGTCAGCACCGTGCTCGTGGGTTTCACCGAAGTTTTAAACGTCTGAGACCTGCATCACTTCGGGCTTTCCTCCTACATTAAGCTGACACGCCGTGATATAACTGGAATAATGTTAAAAGCGGCGTTAAACCCAACTCACTCACTCACTCTATCTAAAATATTTATTTTCTGAGACTAAGCGTTAGTCTACTTTGGACATACCCAGCATTACAACCGAAAACCACAAATCACCTGATCCACATTGCAATAACACCATGTACGGCATTTTGGTTATACATGGTTACAGAGGGGCTAGTCGTCTAAGGCGCCGTAATTCTCTGTGCAGAATCGCGTTCGTTCGTGTGACAGACTGTGGATCGAATCCCAGATTCACCCTGAAGATGTTTGTTTGCTGTTTCTCAGCAGCATACCGTGCTGTAGTCACCAAAGTAAAGTCAGATTCATCCACTCGGAAGTGGCGCGCAGGCGGGTGGCCTCGTTTCTACTTCTAAGAAAGAACCAAAAGGTGAGAAACATCAATGTTTGAATATTTGGATATTTCGAGACGGCGGTTTGTAGACAATTGAGTCTGGACCTGACAATCCAGTGATTGACATCACGATCATTGATCTAACGTAATTGGGATAGCCTGACCACCCGATGCCGTTAGTCGCCTCTTACAACAAGCATGGGTTACTGTAGACAAGTATTATACACCTCACGGGAGTATTATTTATAGATATGAACAGAGGAACTTCAAATGTTCAATGTATATCCATAGAGGAGCCAAGTCAGCAAATGCTGAATTATGCAGACTAAAATATTCAAATTGAATCGCAGCGTTCGAATCTGCACCAGACAAACCAGTGATTGAAAACATGAGGAACACCCCACGACGACGGGGCACGATGGCATACAAGCATCCAGGCTACAAATTGGTACCACCATGTCCTCACTTTGGTCGGCTCTAAAACAACCATGGGCTGAATGGGACCTAGTTCGACCCGGAATCGCCACAGCGGTCCTGCCAATAAGTGAGTAAGTGAATTGGGGTAACGCCGCTTTGAACAGTATTCCAGTTTTATCACGGCGTGTCACCTCGATGTGGGAGGAAAGCCGAACGTAATGCAGGTCTTAGACCTTTACCACTTTAGTGAAGCCCACGAGCACGGATATGGTGCTGACAAACATAGAAACATAATTGGGTCGAACCGGGATTCGAACTCACGATCATAGGTTTCTGGCGCGCCCAAGGGATCCAACTCTGCACAGTAAATTGCGGCGCCTTAGACGACGGGGCCACCCGTAGCCCCACTACCAAGAAGTGAGTGAGTGAGTGAGTGAGTTTAACGCCGCTTTTAACGGTATTCCAGTTATATCGCGGCGTGTCAGCTTAATGTGGGAGGAAAGCCCGAAGTGATGGAGGTCTCAGACGTTTACCACTTCGGTGAAACCCACGAGCACGGGTATGGTGCTGACAAACCTAGAAACATAATCGGGGCGAACCGGGATTCGAACCCACAATCATAGGTTTCTGGCGTGCCCAAGGGACGCAACTCTGCATAGCGAACCGCGGCGCCTTAGACGACGGGACCACCCGTGCCCCCACTACCAATAAGTGATATTGAACTTTGCGATGTTTTTCGGAAAGACCTACTGGAGGAACATAATGCTTTCTATTTGTTTATCCTGATAGGTCGTAAACCTGTGAAGGAAGAGTGAGTGAGTGAGTATGGTTTTACGCCGCTTTTAGCAATATTCCAGCAATATCACGGCGGGGGACACCAGAAATGGGCTTCACACATTGTACCCATGTCGGGAATCGAACCCGGGTCTTCGGCGTGACGAGCGAACGCTTTAACCACTAGGCTACCCGACCGCCCCTGTGAAGGAAGAGAGTGGGGGAATAAAATCAAACTTTTGAGACTACCCCTTATCTTTGAGAGATTCAGTTGCAACAGCTTGCTTTCAGTACATGTGTCACATTTGAAGTATCACGTGCTTTAACGTGAGAATGACGTTACCATTTTCTCATAACGCGGCCAGCTCGACATCAGCATTCCTCGCTGGTAATTGAACCTTATTTATCATGCAGCCCCTGGGATGATATACCCAGTCTGGGAGACTCTTCAACATGTCCATGCTAAAACATGGCGTCTTCATTTTGGGAGGTGGCTTAAATTTTCAGTCTCAGCAAAAAGTTTACTTAACCTACAGCCACGTTTTTCTATCGACATTTCACTATATGTCTAATATATAAAGACCCTTGCTTTTCATTTCCGTCGTCCGTCGTAAACATCTTCCAAACAGAAACCACTGGACCAATGAAGCCGAAACTTATTTGTTCCAATCCATGATAACACCCCAATTTGTTCAAGAGGTTTGAATCCGATTTTTAACATGGCCACTACGGCAGCCATATTGTATTATCTAGTGTGTATGTATACGCGAAGTTCAAAATGTAAATAAATTTGATATATATGTACTTAGTAGTGGGACTATGATCCCTTTTATAGTTAGTGATCGTTATTTGATCTTTGCATTTTGCTCCTAAATAATCTCATAATGTATTTCCTCGCACTGAAAACATTGTCTCCACACAAACTATTGACCCAATGAAGCTGAAACGTCAATGCTTGTAGCACACTGATGACACCTGACCCTGTTCAAGAGGTTCGAATTTCCAAATGGCCACCACTGCAGCCATATTGAAAAAAGGTATGACTTGCGGTCTTTTGGTTTTAGCCGGCTCTATCTACCTCCATGCCGCTGTAAACTTTGAATTACATTGTTGGTGCATTACGTGAGGCACACATGTATCTGGTAATACACCATTACGCCAAACATTTAATTAGAGAGCAGCCAACGTTAACCATAGCAGCAGCATATTATATTACATATGTTCACATTATCATATGTATAGCATTAGATAACGAGAAAAACTGAGGCTAGTGTAACAGGTTATCTACAACCGACGCCGAGATAATTTGAATAGCCTCAGAACCATGAACGCCATATATAATTCATTTCAGAACCACATTTAACGTGAGTGGTGCAACCTACCCTCTGACTGGGCTTAACAAACATTTCCTGTGTTATGTTTGGTAAATACACATCTATTACAAATAGAGGCGTGTGTATCGATGACATTACTTGCAGTCATTCTCACAGCGCAAAGTAATTTTTGCAATAAGTTTAATGGAAAACAAATAACAATGACTCGACCCTAGATTTGTTTATGGTAGTCCATCAAATATTGCTCCAGAATCATACACGTCTGGCTTACTGAACAGATGAGACCGCAGTGATTAATCCATACGCAGTGACTGCAACCGCAATCGGCTAGAAGTTTCAACAATAGACTAGAGTCAGGATAGACTTTCTACAGTCATTGACGGACTATTGCTAGCGAGAGGCGTTTGAAGCAAACACGGTTTTCCTTACTTGGGAGTTCGACACTTCATAAACACACTGCACGATCCATGTTAAATGCAAGCAACTGAATTTTTCTTAAGTTTGACTGTGTGTTAACTTCCTGAATTGTACATGAGAGTTGAATGATTTCTTAAGCAAGGCATCATGGTATTCTTGCTCCCTCATATCATCCCCACATCAAGCATATGCTTCTATCACTATTTAATCACAATTCAGTAGCGATGTAACGGGAGAATTCATGTAGGCCTTAAATTGAGAATTGGCGTTGTCATTGTCATATGTGCACATTTCTTTACAGTACCCTTTCTTTACATCTCCCGTACTGCATGGTGTACTGTACACTGTACTGCATGGTGTACTGTACACTGTACTGCATGGTGTACTGTGTGTTATACTGACAGAATCAGCAAAACCCTCATCCCCAGCATCCCCGTCATGTGTTCAGTTGGTTAGATGTAGCCTAAAACTATCTTACAGTTCTCGCTGAAATCTCGCTTGGAAGGAGATATCATCGGAGTTACTCACACAGTTGGTCGAGCAGCTCTAGGAATAGCGCAATCGCCTACCACCATAAAACCCAGTCCAGCAGTTCAGAGGTCAAGTCTTCAGGTCAGAGGTTGACAGTCATACAAGAGTAACGAATGGATGCCATCCATTACCAAATACCTCAACATGATTATATACTTTGCTTTGCTGACACATACGACCTTTCTTTTTCAATATTTTGATGACTTTGATTTATTCCCTGTGTTACATCCATTGTGATGACTTGAATGGTGTTGTGGGTTGGCTCGGAGCGTGTCATCGTGCCCCGAATTCTTGAGGCGCTGCTCAAGCTATCATTACTGGTTTATCAGGGCCCCGTTCCTCAAAGCGGTCTTAGCATTACGACTTTCTACCTTTAGACTAACGCGTAAAAACCTTTAGACTCTTTTTTAACGCGTAAAAAGATTATTTTGATGGAAACAAACAATGCCATTTAAATTGTAAAGGAGTCCAAGAGAGATGGGAGATTCAGAACATGAACCTGTGGAAATCTAGACTTGCCTCACTTACTTGTTATAGCATTACAGGAAGGTCTGGGACTGTGAGACAGACTGGTCTCTCAAAGTATTGGAGCTACGGTTGTCTTAGCGCTACGACCGCTTTGTGGAAGGGGCCCCGATCTTTACTCTATCATTTACAAGACGTCGTGATGGAGCTGTGATATTGCTTGCTTCGATGTTAAACAATATTATAGCTTAAACGGATAGAATTATCATTAAACCGCCCGCATGTTATCAGAAATGAGCGGGTCAGTGTAACTTGATAATGCCCTCATATTGCTTGACGACGGGCTATTATCACGCCCGTTGTTAGGCGACGTCAAAGGATAGGGAATGGCGACGTCACGGTCAATAGTGACGTCGCCTGGTTTGTTCTCTGGCTTTACCATATTTGCGGGTCAGTGACATTCGTGTTGATTGCAGTAAATGTTTCCAAACCGATATTTTTGTTTCTTTTTATCTTATGGCAAATTCCATCCATTTTAGCTATAATAACGGTAACACTATTTTTCAGGGCATTATCATTTGAAGAAGCCCTCGGTCTTTTCAACTGCCCTCCTTCATCGGGCAGTTAATCAGTGGAAGACCTCGGGCTTCTGTAAATGATAATGCCCTGAAAAATAGCGTTACCCTTATATTCACGGGTCTACTTTCAAGAAGAAACTTTCACTTGTTTTACAAATATCTGCACCAATAATTTAAAAATGTGTAAAAACTTTTCACAATCAATACAAAATACTAACAGTAGAAAGATAAGCCTGCATTTTAGTGCATTGTAGCCGTGAACATCATTTAGGATGTTCTAACACTATTTTCCATGTTCTAACAATATTTCTGGATGTTCTAACACATTCCTATTCAGTCGCATGGCGATAAGTACAAAAACATGGACGCAGCGGAAAAAAACCGGAATGCGGAGTCAACGCAGCAACTGGCAACTAATACCGTCATCACCAACAGCTTGCCTCCCATGATGACGTAGATGGCATGGATTAGTCTGCAGGTGGCTTAGTGTTGTTCGCCCTGGCGGTCTGTGAGTATGTATAGCTGACGACCTATATGCCCTTGTTTTGCAGGTTCAGCTCGGGTATCTTCCGCCCAGGAAACGGTAAGTCCAGATGGGAGATGGCACTCATTTGTTGCTTAGCAACATTGCAGCAGGTATTAAAGTTGGGGGTTTGGATAGACAGGTTGTTTCCTCCAAAATTTAGTTATTATACCTGAATAGCCTGACTGTTAAAACTGTGGACATGGATTTAAAGGAAGTCATCAGCTGGAATACCTATAGTAACACGCGTCCTAAATACGTCATAATGGATTTCCCTTTCTGGTAACTTCAAGTTCGGGCGAATTGACGCTAAAAATATAACGATAATGTAGTCTCATTTTCCGATAAAGCAGCGCTTAGAGTGGGTGTTCGATGTCTACCTTCTAGTCAAGGTGTTTACGCCCCGTGGTTCAAAAAGGTTCTCAGTATTCCATGCTTGTCGTGACCGCCTCCGTAGTCTTGTGGTAGAGCGTCCGCCTGGAGAGCGGAAGGTCCGGGGTTCGATCCCCGGCCGCGTCATACCAAAAGACGTTAAAAGATGGTACTTGTTGTTACCCTGTCTGGCGCTAGGCATTAAGGGGTTAAAACAAAGACTGGTCAGCTCGGAGTCAGTATACTGTGTCTGAGTCGGGTATTCATGTTAAACTGCGGCATGGTATCTCGATGAGCTCGCTCTATAAATCGGCATAAGTCCGGACTAGTACAAGCAGCCACACACACACACGTGCATGCACGTCGCTATATAAGTGCAATAATCTTGGACGCGACGTTAGACCCAATTTAACCTCACCTCACCTCAGCATGCTTGAAGGCGCGAGTGGTCAGACTAGGTGACTTGGCCGATGTGTGTGCCACGATACCGCGGCGAGAATTTACAAGCCGGCGTGATATAGATGAATTTGTGGCGTATGGCGTTACAACACGTTCAGACATTCATCCATTTTGTTTATCTGCAGGCATTTAATGATGATTATTAGGTTGACAAATACATGAATTCATTTTGGTATTTCCCGGAATCATTGTCTCAACGACATTGTTTTAAAAGTGTAAATAATGAATTAAAATAAAAATAAAAATTAAGATCACTAATGGTAATCAAAATAGCATTATTATTATTATTGACGCTAGTATTGACAATCAACGACAGTATCAGTGGTTGTCAGTTATTAGCATAGCAGAGTCAGTGATTGTGATCACGACAACAACAGCAGTATCTGTATAACAAGCATCCCACCTGAAAGTGTTCTTAACGTTCTGTCACCACGACTCAATTGGGTTATTTTCACCTCGTACACATCATAGGAAATTCCTTTTAATACCACCAACCCTTACGTAGCATATGTCTGACTCTAACATAACTGTTGGCGAACCATACATAAATTTGTTCATCAGGGTGCATCTGTTTTTAATTTCACTCATCAATTTGAAAACCCGTACAACAGACACAATCACCAGTAATATATAAACGCTTTTTGTGTGAGGTAGCCACAGTTTGTATTTACGGGTCAAATCCAGTTATGTTTTAGCCTCTGTGGATACAATATGTCTTACACGTTGACATGTTTTGACCTACACTTGTACGTATAATCGAGGCATGACTCCATTAACACATTCGTGTCTTACTAACACTTTTTAGTTCTGAGCATTTTCTATCAACGTGACTATCGTTCCTTCTTTCAGCCTGACGAGGCTGCCCCTAAACGCCCACCCTTTCCCTCGGGAACACTCCCTCCTTTCCGATATGACAGTAACCGCCCCACCCGACCTCCTTTACGTTTGGATATTCCTGTCCCAACACGTCGTCCTTCATTGGGGAAGCGAAACCTTTCTCCTCCTTTCCCTTCTCAAGCAGACGGTTCAGTTGAATCCGACAATAAGACCCCATTTCCCGCGGCAATGGAGATGAACCAACGTCCACTCCCACCTTTTCCTTCGGGAACCCTTCCTCCATTTCAATATAACCCTAACCGCACCACACGCCCTCCTTTCCGACCGGATATTACAGCCCCAACCCGCCGTCCCCCAATGAACAGAAATCAGCCAACCCTTCCTCCTTTTCAATATAACCCTAACCGCACCACACGCCCTCCTTTCCGACCGGACATTGAAGCCCCAACCCGCCGTCCCCCAATGAACAGAAATCAACCAACTCTTCCCCCTTTTAAATATAACCCTAACCGCACCACCCGCCCTCCTTTCCGACAGGATATTACAGCCCCAACCCGCCGTCCCCCAATAAACAGAAATCAACCAACCCTTCCTCCTTTTCAATATAACCCTAACCGCACCACCCGCCCTCCTTTCCGACCGGACATTGAAGCCCCAACCCGCCGTCCCCCAATGAACAGAAATCAACCAACCCTTCCTCCTTTTCAATATAACCCTTACCGCACCACCCGCCCTCCTTTCCGACCGGACATGGAAGTCCCAACCCGCCGTCCCCCAATGAACAGAAATCAACCAACCCTTCCTCCTTTTCAATATAACCCTAACCGTACCACCCGCCCTCCTTTCCGACCGGATATTACAGCCCCAACCCGCCGCCCCCCAATGAACAGAAATCAACCAACCCTTCCTCCTTTTCAATATAACCCTAACCGCACCACCCGCCCTCCTTTCCGACCGGACATTGAAGCCCCAACCCGCCGTCCCCCAATGAACAGAAATCAACCAACCCTTCCTCCTTTTCAATATAACCCTAACCGCACCACACGCCCTCCTTTCCGACCGGATATCAAAGCCCCAACCCGCCGTCCCCCAATGAACAGAAATCAACCAACCCTTCCTCCTTTTCAATATAACCCTTACCGCACCACCCGCCCTCCTTTTCGACCGGACATTGAAGCCCCAACCCGCCGTCCCCCAATGAACAGAAATCAACCAACCCTTCCTCCTTTTCAATATAACCCTAACCGCACCACACGCCCTCCTTTCCGACCGGACATTGAAGTCCCAACCCGCCGTCCCCCAACGAACAGAAATCAACCAACCCTTCCTCCTTTTCAATATAACCCTAACCGCACCACCCGCCCTCCTTTTCGACCGGACATTGAAGTCCCAACCCGCCGTCCCCCAATGAACAGAAATCAACCAACCCTTCCTCCTTTTCAATATAACCCTAACCGCACCACACGCCCTCCTTTCCGACCGGATATCAAAGCCCCAACCCGCCGTCCCCCAATGAACAGAAATCAACCAACCCTTCCTCCTTTTCAATATAACCCTTACCGCACCACCCGCCCTCCTTTTCGACCGGACATTGAAGTCCCAACCCGCCGTTCCCCAACGAACAGAAATCAACCAACCCTTCCTCCTTTTCAATATAACCCTAACCGAACCACACGCCCTCCTTTCCGACCGGACATTGAAGTCCCAACCCGCCGTCCCCCAATGAACAGAAATCAACCAACCCTTCCTCCTTTTCAATATAACCCTAACCGCACCACCCTCCCCACCCTTTCCCCTTACCGATATGACTTCAACCGCCCAATTAATCCTCCTTTGCAAACGTATTTTCCCTCTTTCTACCGCTATTCTCCAGTAGGTAGCCAACATCCCACTTTTCCACCTTTACAATATGACCTCCCCGCCCAGCCTCCCTTAAAACCAAATTTGAATGCCCCAACCCACCGTCCTACAGTAGGTAGACAACAACCCTACCTTCCTCCTTTTCCTGCAGACACCCAACCCTCAGTTATTACCAATAATCCATATCTGCCTCCCTCACCTGTAGAGAACGCGGTGTCCAGTCTGCCCCCCCTCCCCATCCAGACTGACGCCGCGGTTGTATCTGTAACGCAGGCCCCCACTCAGGCCCATACAGATGTGGACACAGCTTCTGGATCCTGCTCCTCATCCTCACAGTGTTTCTGCTGCAGATGGACCACGAGGTACGGCTCAGTCATGTTACAGTGAATCGGCATTCATATAAATGTATGCCACAATCATCACGTTACATCCTGTTTGATAGGCTCTCATGGTTTGGTCATGTGATAAACGTTTGAAGGTATATCATGACATCCATTACTTCATTTAAGAAATTAAAAAGGTAGACAAAATGGTTCAAAGAACACGCTCTCGCTCGGGTATCAGAATGACTTTTTAGGCGTTCAGTCCTTGGTGTATACTAGTAACTTAATCCAAAACTTACGTCAAGATGTCACATATATTTATTGTGAGATGTGGCGGCAGCACACACAGAGGATGATGATTATATATTATCTGTCACATGGTCCATTCCTTTACAACATGGTCCATTCCTTTATATGTTTCACATTTCAGACAGACAGAGAGCATGTGCTCCTCCAACGTGTGTTTGGAGATGTCTAATGGCGTGTGTGTCAGGATGGATAGGCGGAGAAGGTAAGGGACATAGTCCGAGTGCCAAGTCTCCCAATGTACGATGTCGGGTTGCACATTTCTTTTAAAAAGATTTTGTTTAAATTCCTACGCGGGCCGGTCGGGTAGACTAGTGGTTAAAGCGTTCGCTCGTCACGCCAAAGACCCAGGTTCGATTTTCGACATGGGTACAATGTGTGAAGCCCATTTCTGGTGTCCCCTGCCGTGATATTGTTGGAATATTGCTAAAAGCGGCGTTAAACCATACTTACTCACTCACTTAAATCCCTACGCATTTTATATCTGATGAATGTCAAGACTCAGGTGCCGTCTAAAACGTTAAAAGAGGGCTTAATCTCAATTCTCATTATTGCTTGTTCCTGCTCATCATTCTGCGCTTTGCATTGGAAAAATATTATGCCAAAAATGTAGAGGATAGTAAGTATCCCCAAGACATATCATCTGATGGGTTCTAATGGTTGGTGTGATGAGATGGTAGCGCACTCGTAGGTCGTTTAAGAGGTCGGAAGTCTAAATCGAAATTTGCATTTTGCAGCCAACATCACCAATATCAGGTAAAACCACCTCTGATTGGCCAGACATGCACGAGTTTTTCGAGGCATGCTTCTGATGAGTTGACCAATGCCAGCTTGACTCATGTTCATTGGGAGTGGTTGGTGGATTTTGACGTTGACGTACACGTCTGTCAATGACGTTCCAGACGTGTTCAACGGGGGAAAGGTCAGAACAGAGTGCTGGCCATAGCATGACATGGATGTTTTGCTTTTGCAGGAATTTGGTCACAATCCTGGCAGGATGAATACGTGCATCATCATTTTGAAAGATGAAATATTGCCCAACACGATGTTTTCCCGATATCATTGACCTGTGACTCTGCCATGGACAATATGGAACGCAGTTCCCTATAACATTATGGCCCAACCCCCAAACGATCACGCTGTACGACGTATACGTCCATAAAGCGCCCATTAGGACGTCACAAAACTCGATTCCCTCGAGAGTGAACGCCGATTCGTCAGAAAACATGCCATTAGCCCAACGTCGAATATCCCAGTGCTGATGTTCCCTCTGATTCAAATGACGTTTAGTAAGTTGTGGGATGACACGTGGACGCCGTGTGCGTAAATGCCATGTGCACACGAGTTTGCACTGTACTCATATATCAGTTGCCTATTGCAACCGGTCCCTTATCTGAGAGGCAGTTTATGACCGATAACCATTGGTCTTTCTAATCTGTATTGGGCTGGAGTTGTTCGTCTTGGGCATCCAGACGATATGTCATAGACGTTATGTATTTGTCAGTATCGGGTCCCCAATGATGCCAGATTGAAAAACATATAGCATTTGGGCAACAGTATCCTGACGTGTGCCAACCTGCAACATGCCTATGACACATAAACGTTCAGCACGCTGCAAACGTCGCATTATAAATGTTGTTGCTTCCTTAATGCTTAAATATGTTTAATAGAGTGTATTTGCGCGTTTGGTTCCAAGAAAACAATATGGGTCTGCTCACAACCGAGTCTTAGGGACAATGTAAATCTGGCATCCTTCCCCTTGCACATGCTGCCAGAGGTCAAGTGCATTATGACAGTCACACTGTTGTGTTTGGGAGCTTAATTTCTTTGGAAATGTTCTTGCCACATTAATAACTTTCTTTCATTGCCAGACATTGATGTATTTTCCTGTAATTTTACATCAAAACGAAATAGTCTCTTCTTTTTTCAGAGTATATAACATGTAATAACCAACCTCGACCTGTGAAGCCTTCTCATCACTTATAAACATTAAAGCAATTTGGACGTCAAGATATTACCTGTATTGGTTATGTAATATTTTATGCTGTATGTTTAGAGATTAACGTACTTATTTTGTTTTCTGTTCGTATTTCTACAGAAACAACCAGCCATGTATAACCCACAATGAGCGCGTGTGTATCTCGTGTTGCAAACGCTCCACAACTCAAGCAAAATGTTCCGCACCTCGCCCTGCTCTTCAGCCTATTCGACGTCGTCGTAATGAGCAGTATTTTCGACCTGAAATCCCAAATTCTCAAGCCTGCTGCCAGCAGGCCCAGACCCTTCGTAGTTGGTGCTGCGTGGCTTCATCCGGCGCCCCTTGTTGTGCTGCTCTAGTCATGACAGCTTCTGAGCAACTTCTTGCTCGGATGGAGGCTCAGCGGATTGCTCGTTTGAGGGCCGATCAAGTTGCAGCTCTTCAACAACGTGAGGCAGCAAGGCTTGCCCTTCTGAGGGAGGCTGCAGCGCGGCAGGTAGCAAGACAGGCTGCAGCTCAGGAAGCTGCTCGACTCGCTCTCCAGGCCCAAAGGGTGGCTGAACAACGTGAGGCCGCAAGAATTGCTGTTCTGCGAGAGGCTGCAGCGCGTCAGGCTGAGGCTAGGCAAGCTGCTCGTCTTGCTGCTCTTCAGGTTGCCCGAGAACAAGAAATGGCGGCGGCACAGGCTCGACTGGCTGCCCTTAGAGCTCAGAGAGAGGCAGAGCTTGCTGCTCAGCACGAGGCTCTTCGCTTGGCTCAGGTGGCCGCAGAAGCTGAGGCTGCTCGTCTTGCTGAGCTTCAGCGCCAACAGCAGGCGGCTCGACAAGCAGAGGTTATAGCCCAGGGTGAGCGGGACAACCTTGCAAGACTTCAGGTAGATAGTTTCAATATTAAAAACAAATCTTAATAAAATGCAATGAGCTAGAAATTGAAATATTGACATTATATTCATTTCAGCACAAAATGAAACATGTCCGTGTAATCTTTTATGATCTGACTGTTCACATTAATGAATATGTAGAGGTACCTATTCACGGGTGACACAATGGCATGGTACTGCTGATGTAAGATTGTGGTAAAAGGTGCGTATTTGTGAATTACGGTCTATGGGGGGCAACTCTATTATGCTTGCTTCAAACCATGCTTGCCGGAATTGGCCAATCTGATCTGACTGGTCACATTAGGAACGTTATTGTGACTGAAATATTTGTAATTTATCTACTTACAAATATTTTAATGTTGGATGAACTTATATTGTTTCTGTTAAAAGGCTGAACAAGCTGCAGCACTACGTGTTCAACAGGACGCTGCAGCCGCAGCTCAGCAGGAAGCGAACCGACTTGCTCTCATCGCACAAAGGGTTTGCAGTAGCTGTGGTTCCTCCGTCCAACCCCTTCGGGTCCCCGAGGCACAGAGGCCAGCTTGCTGTACTTCTGCCGCCCAGCCCCAGCCCCAGCCCCAGCCCCAGGTCCAAGTTACAACATGTTGCTCAGGAGGCATGTCTGTCCGCACCGCCTGCTGCTCATCCTCTGTCAGCCTCAGCCCGAGTCCTTCTTGTTGCGGGGCTTCACAGCCTCTAACTCAGGCCAGCTCTCCACAAGGTCGTTCCGTTTGCTGTACCTCCTCAACAGCAGCTCGTGTCTCATGCTGCAGAACAAATGGCTGGATGGGCGTCTGCTGTTAGATCGCTAAGTTCAGATCAATTTTGCCTAATTTTAGACCTACTAACTTAACATGCCCTTTCTGATTTGGGTTTAACACTTGTTGGGATGCATAAAACTATGTTTGCTATTTCGTATAAATGATGGCAATGTCAGTGTATGCAGTTGCTTGTTATCAAATGATGATTAACACAGTGAAAGGCAACGACTTTTTTGTGAACACTTATTGTAATACTGTACTTAAAACTGATTGTCCATACCCGGTGATTTTGTATCCACTTTTGTATGTCTTACAAATTTGTTACTTCTAACCTCTCCAAGTAGTTGATTTAGTTGTGCAAATCCCTGGCTTTGCTTAGCTCTCCCATGAAATGTACCTCTCTACCTGTAAATCTTGATTTCTCGCGCCTAGCCTCTTGATATCTATCGCCACCCGGAGGTGTGACGATTCCCTATACCTTGTAGCGCCTGCAGCCTACCCTTTTGGTAACTCACGCCAGCATCAGGTGTGACGACTTCCAATGGCCAGCTTCTAGCTTATCCTTATCAGTAACGCAGCCTCTAGCCTATCCTCTTGGTATCGCAGATATGATGTTGTAGAATACCTTGTGGCGCGCCCCCTACTCACAGCCTACACCTTGGTGTCTAACAACTTCTGTGTTAGATGTCCTATGCCTTGTAGCGGATCTTCTAGCCTGCCCTCTTGGTATCAAACGCCTCCTGCAGTTGGGTCGCTGTCCTTGCCTTGTAGCGCATCTTCTAGCCTACCCCTTTGATATCTAAAGCCTTCGATGTCCTATGCCGTGTAGCGAGCATCTTCTAGCCTAACCACTTGGGATCTAACGCCTTCGATGTCCTTGCCATGTGGTGCCCATCTTCTAGTCTACCCATTTGGTAACAAACGCCTTCTGCAGGTGTGTCGATGTCCTACCCACAGCCTACCCTTAAGCAGTCATACTTCCGAAATATATGGATATAAATACCTTGTGGATATGTAGCTTGAATAAAACACATTTCCCCACGTTATCTGTGCTCATTTTGAAATTGATCTGCAGTGAGTTTTAGTAGAGTCTGAAAGGTCGCACTTCTCGTGCATTGGAATCTCAGAAACAGGGTATGTCTGACATGAGTATCAGCTTATGAAGACAGAGAAGACCGCCAGTGATCTGTGCTGTGTATGTTAAATAAGATGTTGCAGCATGGGTACATTGCCTTAATGGGAATGCTCTTTTAAGAGCAACTCCGTTGTTGCCTTGCTGGTTTTATGCGTTATTGCATTCCAGTGTTCTGGTTCGTTTCTTTGCTACAAGATTGCTGGTAACGTTGGTAACGTTGTTTAAAGCATTGCAATTTGTAGTGTTGTATGCCCCGGGCGAGTCAGGATACAACGATTGGGGGCTCAAATCACAGATCCTTGGAATCTAAGCACCGGAGCCGTGCTCGTGGATTGCAGGAAAGACGAAAACGTCTACGACCTCATTGGCTTACTCCGTGAAGATCTGGTAGAGAATTGGTCTTCAGCAACGTTGTAAGAGGCAACTACCGGAATCGAGTGGTCAGGCTCGTATCCAAAACGACCAACATCCATCGATGACCAAGATCAGGAAGACCTTCAACTGGTACCACTAACTAAAATGATGATATAATAGATGAAATGATTATGGGTGACCGACTCACCAAACGTCACATGCCTATGCGGTAGCCATCTCTTATGAGAACATTCTGATGGATGAACTGGGCATGACAAAGGTAGAACCAGCCCGAGGTGATTTTGTTCATCGATTTGTAACCATGAATGGGTCTTGGGTTAGTCACTATCAATAACAGTGAGTGTGTGAGTTGGGTTTAACGCTGCGTTTAACAGTATTCCAGTTATATCACGGCGTGTCAGCTTAATTTGGGAGGAAAGCCCGAAGTGATGCAGGTCTCAGACTTTTACCACTTCGGTGAAACCCACGAGCACGGGTATGGTGCTGACAAACCTAGAAACATAATCGGGGCGAACCGGATTCAATTCAATTCAAGTCTTTATTGTACGAAAGGCCACAGGCCCATATACAACGGAGTTACAGAACATATTTTATAAAATACAAAGTCAATTCACTTCGTAACAAAAAAGCATTATGTATGTACAAAGCCAGTTGATGTTGTGTTATAAGATCCTTGCAAGACCGTAATGAAGACAATCTTATAGCATGAAAATGAGATAAAGACCACTGCGGTAAGTACTTGTTTCTTAGATTTTCGTATATAGGCAAATAAACATAAAATGTTATTCATCTTCGACAACAATGTCACAAAATGGGCATAATCGTATCGATTTCTCAATAGATAAAATTCTCCGTGTGTTAATTTTTAGATCAGTCAGGCCAAGTCTAAAACGAATAAGGGTGTTACGAGAATTCCTGTACCGTAAATTTGATAAATAAGATTCTGGTTTAAGCAATGACTTGAATTGGCGATAAGTATCATATCTTGAACTTTCATAAATATATGAATGCCATTTCTGATGAAACATATCAATGGCACGCGTGCGAAAGTACTTAATGAAAACATTTTCATTAACAATTGTCTGGGACAGCCAAATGAAACAAAAGCCATATGTTAAAAGCAATGTACGAATACAAGAAGCCCATGTGTTCTTTCCAAGATTGTCCAGGTGTACGAGCATGTTGTAGGCTTTCTTGGGTAAACGGTGTTCAGGCATTATTATTATTTTACACCAATACTTCAAACAACGAGTGTAAGATCCAATGTACAATTGGAATCTCCCGCATTCTCCATAAACCATATTACTTGGTGTTGACATACCAACATTCAAAAACATTTTACAAGCGAGGAGATGAACCTTTTCAATTGTATAGAACTCTTTACAACCCCATATCTCAGACTCGTATAGTAAAATAGGTTGTATTTGAGAATCAAATAATTTAAAATACATTTTTGGTGAAATAACTCCAAGCTTAGACATAACAGAGTGGAATTGTAACAGAGCTTTCTTTGCTCTGTTTGTGAGATTAATTACTGACTTATTCAGATTCAGTGTATGGGTAAACAATATGCCAAGGTATTTGTGTTCATTCACAACATTAATACATGCACCTTTAAAAAACCGTTTCTCTCTTGTGGCCACTCGACCACCTCTACAAAATATAACAATATTAGATTCGAACCCACAATCGTAGGTTTCTAGCGTGCCCAAGAGACGCAACTCTGCACAGCGAATCGCGGCGCCGTGGCCGGCTGGGCCACCCGTGCCCCTCTTTTTTTCGTATTAAACATAGAACAAAGTTTAGTGCGAATTGATCAAAAATGACTAAAACCAATGCCGTGGTCCCTGTGAGCTCTCAGAACTGCATATTTGTCATGTTATATTTGTTCTTCATCCCATCAAGGGGGCTTTGATTTGATGATACTTGCAAAATATCCTTTATACGGTCTCTTAGTATTTCAAGTTGCTTGTTGTAAAATCCAGAGGAAGTTAAAACTTTTCTTTCCATATCTTTATTTATACAATCAATTTAATAATCATGCATAGTGTCACAGAAAGAAGTCTATCTGTATCAAGCTTGTTGATGTTATTTGCGTGGTCACTGTTGTCATAACATACATAAGTAGACTGGATGTTCAAAGAGCAATTTGATGGAAAATGGTTCTATTCATCGCATGTGACAATGCCAAAGTTTGAGATATATGGGAAGAAAGAAGAGGAGGCAATCATATCGTCAAGGTGACTTACACAATTGTGGGTCACCTTTGTGACGAAAAGCCTTCATTCTAGTATGTAGGTCACCCTCTAGAAATGTGTTTTTTTGCCGGAATGGTTAGCCATAATGATTTTAATATAATGACAGTGATGCCACCGTGTTCAGTATTAATAGCAATAGTGTGAGGTGTGGTGAAATGGGGTTTACCGCCGCATTCAAGATAATTCCACTTATATAGCGACGTCAATGCACGTGTGTGTGCGTGTGTACGCGTGCGTCCGTGCGTGCGTGCGTGTGTGTGTGTGTGGGTGGGTGACTGCTTGTACTAGTCCGGAATAATGCCGATTTTATAATGCTCGCCCACTGAGATACGAAGGCGCAGTTTAACATGAACACCCCACTCAGACACAGTTTACTGACTCCGAGCCGACCAGTCCTTGATTTAGCCCCTTAATGTCAGGGTCACAACAAGTACATTCCTTTAACGTCTTTTAGTATGACCAGTAGACCACAGAGGCGATCAATGTGAAGACGTCTAGTTTCAAATAACAAAAAAACTGTATTTTCGAAATAGTCACAACGTCTATTAATATATTATCATTCTCCCTGTTTACCCTGATAAGAACAGTTACATCGCCGCTGTGACGTCTGAACTGTTTAGGTTTAGTTCTCACACTGTTTAGCGAACGAAAACCGGACAGAAATTTTGACATTTCGTTATCTGTCTTCACAAATGATTCATAAAACAAATGGGGGGAAATATATACGTGAATCATTACGCAACGAGTTGACAATTCTTTCAACTATGTCCGTTTGCGCTTAGACGGAACCATATCGCACAAATGACCACGAGAGGTGCACGAGTCTCTAATCTGGTTGTCCCGGCATAACACGAATGTTGAAACTAGAGGTTTATCACGTTTTTGTAAGCCATCAATATTTTTACGAGAGTACACCAGCAACCTGATTCACACACAATTTATGTAAGCATCCTGATTCACACAAACATCAGTTATCCTCTCCCGTATTTATAGAGACCATAGAGCCCCCCCCCCCCCCCCCCCTTATGCAGGAGACAAGGATGAGTTTGAGTGTCGGATTTTATTCTTTTAAGTGTAGATTGTGTGTCTAATAACCATTACACCCCACCAGCTGCCACCTATAGAGAGTTTACATTAATACACTGCGTATATTACAGTTTACATTGGATGGTGAGGAAACATTGCTTCTCAATCCTGGTATTCTGTTTACTTTCTGTTTCTGTTTCTGTTTCCGAGTCCCGCGACCTGGGTATGATGTGGCAATGACTAATCGACAGATGCGTTTTGGATATTTATAACTTGGTATTTTAGGTGATAAATTGGTCTATTCATATAGTCCTGTCATTAGTTACTTTCAAGAAAAGCACGAATAATACCCATACGAATACTTGCTTGCTTTATGTTTAAAGCCGCACTCAGGAATAGTCCAGCTATATGACGGCGGTCTGTAAATAATCGAGTCTGGACCAGACAATCCAGTGATTTACATCATGAGTATCGGTCCACGAATTTGGGGTACGATGACATGCATCAACCAAGTCAGCGAGTCTGACCACCCGATCCTGTTAGTTGCCTCTTACGACAAACATAGTCGCCTTTTTTGGAAAGCATGGGTTGCTGAAGACCTATTCTACCCCGGATCTTCACGGGGTCACCCATACGAATACATCGTGATAGCTAAGTAAGATATCTAAAAGTTCTGCCAAAATGGTTAGCTGTGTTTGTACTAGTCGGTTATTCCATTAATTTCAAGCAAAAAGAAAATATATTTTCTTGTAGTTTCTCAGAGTTCTACATGGGTATCAGTCATGCTAATAAATTGAGTCCACGCAACACACACAATTTATGTGTTCACAATACGTAAAATAAATATGGTTTAAATATAAAAAAATAAAAAATTAAAATTAAAAAATCGTGTACTTGTAAGTTTGTCCTTGTGGTTTTATATATTTCAGAAAAAATGTTTATGTCACGTTCATTGTGCGTAAATTAATATAACTCTCTTGATACTGATTACATATCACAATAATGCGTTTCTTATTCAAACATAACGTAACGCATCAAAAACGCTGACATGTCGAACCTAAGCCATCTTTGAAGCAGTTCCAATGGTAACTCCAGGCAATAGTTACACTCCTGTACGAAACACCCGCAAGGAAGGTAGATAAGTCACGTGACTAGGGGTGCGTGGCCAGGCGCCGAGAGCATCTGTGAACGAGTTCGACATGCAGTCATTACATTTTAATAGCCTTGTAATGGCCACCCGGTGGCTGCACTAATAATGGGAAGATTGCTTTCTAATCGATGCTATTAAGCGTCACACGTGTACTGATATAATGAGAATGCTTGCAGCAGTAGCCACAACTTTTCTCACGCTTACCAAGCTGTGAAATGGACTGTGACAGCTGAAGTTCTTGTTCAAGGATAGATCACCAGTTGACCACGTGCATTGCCATTATAACTGGATAAAAATATTGACAGTACATCCCTACGACTGTTCCACGTATCTTTGATGTTTTTTAAGAGAACGCTTGTCACTGTATCACCGACCGGACCTAAAATTGTACCGACTAAAATTCAAATAAACGTTTTTTCATGCTTAAATTGGTTCCGGTTCCGCATTTATTTCTTCATTCCTCATGTACACATTTTTTATGTAACCAGCCATAACGATCTACAATTCCGTTCGTCATGCAGGCCACGCTTTAGTTGTTTATATCTTCAAGTATATTTTGCACAATTGTGAATATAGGTGGGAGTGGTTGGGAAATCGAAATGATAAATAGAATCAAAATTCAATCTACCAACAAATTAATTTTGTGAAGAAGGCATCTAAGATTTTTTTAAGTGACCCAAAGTCCGACCCAGCGTCCCCTATTACTAAACAGCGAGCAGAATTGAGCACGATAAATGTTCTCAACTGCCGGGCAAAAGAAAAGTACACCCATGTTTGATGGTGGCCAAACATGAAACAAACAAGAAATGGTTATTCGACGGTGATGCATTTGATACGTGTATCATAGTTGTATTTTGGACGTTAAGTCTGCAGTGTTTCGGCGACTGTTTTCATCCTAGTAACGTGTAAATAACATTTGTAAAGTTACGTCAAATCCAATTTTCAAGTGTATACTTTCTTTTGCCGGGCAGTTTATATCCGCATGTTTGGTGAAGTACTATCTGCAGCCGTAACCAGAGGATAGTTTTACACCTTCTGATTTTATTACGAGTGAAAAACGTCAGCGACCAGCATTGTACTTTTCGTCCAACATTCAGACTTTCAATTTATCAAGGACAGTAAAAAAACAAAGGCCATTATCTCTGAAGACAACCGCACTCCACATCAAACCATGACAGTCAGTGAAGTTACCGGGGTAATATATGATCCAAGTGCTCTATTTTGTCACAAAAGTAGACTGATGGGGAACGGGTAGTTAAACTGTGCTAACGGTGAGGTCAACATGTGGTTAACGTCGCGTTCCAGATTATTGCACTAATCCATGCTGACTCCGAGCCGACCAGGCCTCGTTCTATCCCTTTAATGTCGAGCTCCAGTCAGGGTAACAAAAAGTATCATCTCTCAACGTCTTTTGGTATGACGCGGTCGGGGCTCGAATCACCGACCTTCCGCTCTGCGGACAGACGCTCTATCCATTAGAACATGGCGGCGATGTGTGCCGAGTGTGTGGATTGTTGCTCCAACACAGGTTTGCTGGGGCAAGATTCGATTGTTAAGTTGATTAACCTTGGATGTTGCTGAAAATTGCTTGTAAAAGAACTCCACTGATGACGTCAAAACCAAGCAAAACAAGGTCGGTGAAAACGATGTGAATGACAACGTGACTCAGCGTTTATTGAGCTTGATAACTCGTATACATAATCACATACATGACACAAGTTGAAGATACAGTAAACTACGGTTATAACGAACTCAAAGGGACCACTAAGTTTAGTTCGTCATATCCGCCTGTTCGTTATAAGCATGTGCGTTATAAACGTAGCTTACTGCATGTACACTGCACAATGAAATAACAATGACGTCTTGGACCAGGGGATGATAAGCAGTTGTATTAGGAAATATGAACATGGTGTTTATTTCAAAAGTTCATTGTATCCTAAAATGATTGACATTCCGAACGATATGTGATCATTACACTGACGGAGACACAATGTACCAGACTCGGGACGTATAACTGTGACATCGACAGTCATTTTCCTTCACATACTTTACATTGAACATAAAACTGGCCGTAATTTCGATGCAGGATTGTAATCCATCCGTCAACACTCGCCCCTTTCCGTAAGCTACAAGAAGACTCGTCCCCCTATCGATGAATGTTATATGCAAAAATACGACAAACCAATCAGAATGCGCGTATGACTTCAAGTACTTTGGTCAAAGAATCCCTCAGGAATAATTTTAGATTTAACATATGTCTGGCATTTAAGAATATACTCAACATACAGTTAAATGTGTTCAACTATACTGTATAATAATATCAGTCCCAATTTGTTTTCAGTAGCATCAGGAATATATATGATATATCTAGGAAACATACGTGAATCATTACGCAACGAGTTGACTATTCTTTTAGCGATGCCCGTTTGCGCTTAGACGGAACCCAGTCGCAAAAATGGCCCGAGAGAGGCACGAGTCGCTATTCGGCTTGTCCCGGAATAACACTAGTTGGTCACGAATGGATCGTAATCGCTGTAATCAATGACTATCGACCTGCAGCTTATGTTATATCTGACATCGAAACGTGGCTATAGTTTTCTCGATATTACTGAACATCTCCAAAACATTTATAACACTATTCATTGAAAAGTTTTGGATATTACCTTTCGTCACATTTCATAAATGTTGGTGGAATTCCTATTCCTCGTGGCATCGTTTGCATTTTAACCATGTTTCACGGTCATGTTTGTAATGTTTCAACTTTAAACATATTTTTATTTCAGAAACGGAATACACTTGGGGTAATTTTAATGTTAACTAAGCATGTCTAAGTAAACACTCCATGGGATAACGGCATATCTCAACACTTCAACAATGCGTTATGCTGAGTAAAACGCTTGGGTAAAAAGCACATAAACTATCTGTAATACTAAACATCGTTTATTCTCCGGTTACGTATTGCCATGTAGATATCCTTTGTCCGTCTATTAGACGGATACATTAGAGACTTACATCTTATTTACATATTTACATAAATGGCCATATAATTGATCGAAAAATAACCGTAAATGATCAATCATCATAACCGTCAAACCATCATTACCCATTGTTGAGGTTTTCCTATAAAACATGTTTTACTACAGATTTTAATACATGATTTACTATATGTCTTAAGGGCAGAATACTGTACGAATAAATACAGCACGAATAAATATTAACCAAATGAAGGATATGAAATGTTCGATGCATCATATGCACATAACATTTAATGCCCTTGTCAACGAATGGTGTATATTCACCGATACATGTTGCATAGCATCTATCCATAAAACATGAAAATAACGGCGTATACGACCTGGCCTTCTCTAACCTATACAACTGTAAGCACGCATTTCATCTCCATATTTACACTGTATTCAAGTGACATTGAAAAGAATGTGTTCAGGTTGGTTTGGGAGAAAAAATGAATAGTTTCGTACAGAAACATCGTTCAAATACCAACCTCGCGTACACTTGAATAATTGCTTTAATATTTACACTGGAACATATTTTTATTGCAAATGTTGAAATCATATATTTAGTTTGAGTTTAATGACATCTGAATTATATTGACAATTTAAAAAAAAAAAAAACCCATTCATTTCCTTATATTACCCCATAATGTGACAACATATCCCAGAAAGTTCCTCTCATCATTATATGATTATGTGGTTTGGTTTATTGGAGCTTGTTTTGTTTCGCATTGTGACAAGGAAAATTTAAATGAAACAGTCTGCGAAATATTGCTTCGAATACATCCTCCACTGTACTTATTCCCAACTCCATGGGAAGCGACGTTGCTAGTTTATTGACATCACTGTTAGCAACATCGGCATGTAAGAAATATGTCATGTACAACTAGTCAGAACCTACATATATATACATGCTCCTTTAGTATTGATCAGCAGTACATATGAATTAAAATCTCTAAATACAACCAACAGAGTGAAAATACATTCAATATATGATATGTTTGCAAGAAAAATAATATTTATAACAGAAAAATTGCATTGTAATTATCTAGAACATATGACACTTTGGCACAATCTTAATATCTGCTACAGAAATACAAACTCCAGTTGAAGAATACATTCGTGTTGACTCATAAACAACGACACACATTATTTATAGTACCGTAGTGAGTACTTTAGTGGGTATTGTAACGGTCATGATGTTCTTTGGTTCATGGGGCATCGGATAGCTTAGTGGTTAAAGCGTTCGCTCGTCACGCCGAAGACCCGAGTTCGATTTCCGACATGGGTACAATGTGTGAAGCCCATTTCTGGTGTCCCTCGCCGTGATATTGTTGGAATATTGCTGAAAGCGGCGTAAAACCATACTCACTCACTTAGGTTCATGTCTGTGTTCTTGTGGCGTACGGCGTCGTCATACTAGTATGCAGCAACCATCAGTGATCATCAAAATTTGAAACCCTTTCTACAGTATGCCACATTACTCCAATCTGGCATTCATTTGAAACCCCGGTAATTCTATCTAGCTGAAGACATGTTTTGTTGGTGGAATTGTCGTCTGCATTTTATCATTTGAGAGTCTCAAGCTGGCATCACAACGATCAGTAATATACTCTAAGACACGGGTTCTATCCTTGACGTAGGACCATAACCATCCCTAACCTTTCTCTGAAGCATCAACGTCTGTGTTATATATTTGTACATCTTTGATATATACACACAGGTATACATAAATACTTTCTCCATGAAGTTTCGTGGTGAAAACTTTGTACCACACACTGATTTCACGGAAACTCATCTTTAACGCTCCTTCACATATCACAATTCATCTCCCGTTTGTTACCACGTCAAGGTGGCATTAGCAAAGTATTGTCAACTGAGTGTCTAGTCATCACCCATATGTCTCATATGCACTCGGATGCTTACATTTTGTTTTGGAAACCGAGGTTTACATAAGGTGATGATGTCTCATTTTCATATATTTGTTCCTCATCGTGTTCCCTACTACCGCCACCAGTCGAGGGACCGTTGACGTAGATCTCCTCGGATGTCTCTTCTGGCGGTGGATGGACCTGTGCGGTTTCTTGGTCTTTTGCTTTCAGACTCTTCTTCTTCTTCTTCTTCTGCTTCTTTGATGGCTGGACACCTCTAGGAGGCCCTGGCGCTGTTGGTAGCTGCTGGAGCTCTTGTTGCTCCTGGGATTGGGCCTGGGCCATCTGATTCAATTTGATGGTAGCTTGGTTGGCGTATGTGCTTTCATGCTCTTCCGGCACAATCACCTGGAGGCAAAGATCACGCACGTTAGTGAGTGGATGTGGATGGATGCTGGATTTTGGGTGTGGGTGTGGTGTTGGTGTGGTGTTGGTGTGGTGTGGGTGTGGGTGTGGGTGTGGGTGTGGTGTGGTGTGGTGTGGTGTGGTGTGGTGTGGTGTGGTGTGGTGTGGTGTGGTGTGGTGTGGTGTGGTGTTGATGTGGTGTTGGTGTTGGTGTGGTGTGGGTGTGGGTGTGGGTGTGGGTGTGGGTGTTTGTGTGTGTGTGTTGTGGCGTTGTGTGGTGTGGGCATGAAAGTGGAAGTTTTAAGCATTGTGGCGTTGTGTTTATATGGATGTTTGTGTCTGGTGTGTGTGTGGTGGGTGGTGGGGGGAGGGGTGTGTGTGTTTGTGTGTGTTTGTGTGGGAAAATTAGTGTTGGTGTTGACTTGGGTATATCTAATGGATTATTGCCTACGATAGAGAGTGCAAACACTAGCTGGTTGTAACAGTTTTGATTACATACAGGCTGCCGGGATACAGCAGGAATATTGCTACTGCGGAGTAAAGCGACATTCCCCAACTCATCCACTCACTTACCTGCTTGGGCTGGGTTGGGTCTTTAGTATATCGCAGCACATTGTCCTGTCCCCGCAGGATCTGGGTGGGCATGTCCTTCAACTTCGTTCCCATGTTCTCGTAATCAGGGGACATGTGCAAATTGTGTTCTCCTTCCGAAACCCCCGACTCCACGACTGACGACGGGTCTGGTGTCTGCAAAGTAAAATGTTGTCGTAGACAAAACAGTACCAAGGGCTCCGTTCTACTTCTTATCACTCTGGCAAACTTGTAGAACCAGGGATAGGGTTATTTACGTTTAGTTCTGTACTGTTTAATAAACGTAATAATTAAATGATACTGTAAACTTGGATTTTAACTTGAAATCAAGACATTTGATATTCTGGATGGGGTCAGGGATGGCTTGCGGTAGGGGTGTGAGGTGTGGGCGTGTTTGGGTTTCTGATATTTCCTAGCCCGTTGAACTGTCCTTTTCGGATCTGTATGATAAAGTATAGTACACACCACACAGTGCATCACTATTGAAGAGGAAGATGTGTGTGTGTAAGGATTTAAATCGAGACAATACTTGAACAATCCAATTTTGCCTCGGGTTTTACACAAAACAATTATTCACTGGGTTTGCTGGGCGCCCTGAACGGAAATGTGTTGTAGGATCAGAGATAAAACCACAAATCCCAATTCTGTTTACTCATTTCTGTCACATCAATCATGTTTATATAATACTGTCGTATCAGCCATGTTTACTCAGTTATGTCACATCAATCATGTTTACTTGCAGTTGTTATGTCAGTCATGTTTACTTGTATCTGGGGGCACGGGTGGCTTAGTCGTCTAAGGCGCCGCGATTCGCTGTGCAGAGTTGCGTCCCTTGGGCACGCCAGAAACCTATGATTGTGGGTTGAAATCCCGGTTCGCTCCGATTATGTTTCTAAGTTTGTCAGCACCATACACGTGTTCGTGGGTTTCACAAAAGTGGTAAACGTCTGAGACCTCCATCACTTCGGTCTTTTCTCCCACATTAAGCTGACACGCCGCGATATAACTGGAATAGTGTTAAAAGCGGCGGTAAACCAAACTCACCCACTCACTCATTACTTGAATCTGTCACATCAGTCATGTTTACTTGTATCTATCGCATCAGTCATGTTTACTTCTATCCGTCACATCAGTCATGTTTACTTGTATCTGTCACATCAGTCATGTTTACTTGTATCTGTCACATCAGTCATGTTTACTTGTATCTGTCGCATCAGTTATGTTTACTTGTATCTGTCACGTCAGTCATGTTTACTTGTATCTGTCACATCAGTCATGTTTACTTTTATATGTCACATCAGTCATGTTTACTTGTATCTATCGCATCAGTCATGTTTACTTGTATCTGTCACATCAGTCATGTTTACTTGTATCTGTCACATCAGTCATGTTTACTTTTATATGTCACATCAGTCATGTTTACTTGTATCTATCGCATCAGTCATGTTTACTTGTATCTGTCACATCAGCCATGTTTACTTGTATCTGTCGCATCAGTCATGTTTACTTTTATCTGTCACATCAGTCATATTTACTTGTATCTGTCACATCAGTCATGTTTACTTGTATCTGTCGCATCAGTTATGTTTACTTGTATCTATCGCATCAGTCATGTTTACTTGTATCTGTCACATCAGTCATGTTTACTTGTATCTGTCGCATCAGTCATGTTTACTTGTATCTGTCGCATCAGTCATGTTTACTTGTATCTGTCACATCAGTCATGTTTACTTGTATCTGTCGCATCAGTCATGTTTACTTGTATCTGTCACATCAGTCATGTTTACTTGTATCTGTCACATCAGTCATGTTTACTTGTATCTGTCGCATCAGTCATGTTTACTTGTATCTGTCACATCAGTTATGTTTACTTGTATCCGTCGCATCAGTCATGTTTACTTGTATCTGTCGCATCAGTCATGTTTACTTGTATCTGTCGCATCAGTCATGTTTACTTGTATCTGTCACATCAGTTATGTTTACTTGTATCTGTCGCATCAGTCATGTTTACTTGTATCTGTCGCATCAGTCATGTTTACTTGTATCTGTCACATCAGTCATGTTTACTTGTATCTGTCGCATCAGTCATGTTTACTTTTATATGTCACATCAGTCATGTTTACTTGTATCTGTCACATCAGTTATGTTTACTTGTATCTGTCGCATCAGTCATGTTTACTTGTATCTGTCGCATCAGTCATGTTTACTTGTATCTGTCACATCAGTCATGTTTACTTGTATCTATCACATCAGTCATGTTTACTTGTATTTACCCCATCAGTCATGTTTACTTGTATCTGTCACATTAGTTATGTTTACTTGTATCTGTCACATCAGTCATGTTTACTTGTATCTGTCACATCAGTTATGTTTACTTGTATCTGTCACATCAGTTATATTTACTTGTATATGTCACATCAGTCATGTTTACTTGTATCTGTCGCATCAGTTATGTTTACTTGTATCTGTCACATCAGTTATGTTTACTTGTATCTGTCACACCAGTTATGTTTACTTGTATCTATCACATCAGTCATGTTTACTTGTATCTGTCGCATCAGTCATGTTTACTTGTATCTGTCACATCAGTCATGTTTACTTGTATCTGTCGCATCAGTCATGTTTACTTACATCTACTGTTGGGCTTTGTGCTGGATCTTGGCGTTTTCTGCGACACACACAAGCGATGACAACGACAGCGGCGACAATCAGCACCACGCCTCCGACAACACCTCCTGCCACGGCCGCCACTGGGAATTGTTCTGAAGCGCCGGAGGAAACGCACTCGCCATTCTCCAGCAAGAACTTGGCCTCACATGTGAAACACACAGTGTCGCTGCAGTTACTGCAGTTGTCTTTGCACCTTCTGCAGTAAACTGTTGGTGTCGAAGAAGACGACGTCCCCCCGTTGTCATTGGTGCTGGAGGCCTCCGATGTTGCAGCGTCTGTCGAAGTGTCATTACTGGAGTCTGTTGAAGTGTCAATACTGGACTCTGTAGAAGTGTCATTACTGGAGTCTGTAGAAGTGTCGTTACTTGTGTCGGTGGAGTTGAAGGTGTCGTCGTCGTCGTCGTCGGGTAGTGTCGTACTGGGCACCGACGTTGCGGAACTCGATGTGTCACATTGTGATACCATGAAGTACCCGCTTGGACACCTAGAGTTCTCTGAACAACATGTATGTGTTTTGTTCTTGTCACACTGTTGTGCTTGTGCAGATGGCGTCTGAAAACACATGTAAAGGATTAATGTCACGTATGATAACTGATGTACATCCTAGCCGGTGTAAACTGGTCCCTGAAGATGTACTGAGTGATAAAAAGTAACTATGATCATATCAACTCATTGGTAACTGAAACATATATCAATAACATTAGAATGCTAAGTCGCACCTCAAATTTTCTTTTTTTTCAAACTGATGTAAATGTACATATATCTAATCGGAAATGCACTTAGTCACATAGTCACATTTTGTATTAGAAAACAAAAGAGAGAGAGAGAGAGAGAGAGAGAGAGAGAGAGAGAGAGAAAGAGAGAGAGAGAGAGAGAGAGAGAGAGAGAGAGAGAGAGAGAGAGAGAGAGAGAGAGTATATGTATGTGTGTGTGAGTTGGGTTTTGCGGCAGTTTGAACATCATTTCAGTGTCAGCCTGATGTTTGAAGGAATCCCGAAGTAAATCAGGTCTTACGTTTACCACTTTGCTGAAACCCACGATCGCGGTTATGACAAACAGACAAATGAAAATTTTCCTGGAATCGAACCAACGGTCAGCCCATCCTGGCACAAGAGAAGAGACGCAACTCTGCAGGCAGCCTGCGCCGATGGGAAGTGGCGAAAAATGTTCCTTCTCTAACATTAATGTGAAACATATTTGTGTAATTCTTGGATATTTTTTGGTGAACTTTGGTTAAACAATAACGTTTCAATTACGTCATGGGTAGAATAAAGTTAATAAAGAAATATAAGTGTCACCAGCATCGTACTGCGATATACACTCTGAAACAACTATCTTTGTGGGGAGGCAGGAGTTTAACTGTTTATAACGCCGTTATGACGCAACAACTCCGACTACTGGTGAATAAATAAATGGTGATAAATATATGTACAAACCAGTGCCAAGATATGTTTTGTGCGTATTTACACTCATGTAAACGTTTTCATTGGGTAGTATGTTCGCTTTTGGATATTCAATACAGTTTTATTCCCTTGGCTACAATCTATTTGACATTTTAAACCAGTTACGGCTCCAGGTAGGTTTTTACACCATTGAGCAATGTTATCCTTCACACTGGTATCACACTCACTTTCCTTCAGTATTCAATACATTTCTACTCCTTGGGTCCACCCACATAGTTATTTAAGAACTTATAAGTAGATCATTTTAAGAATAATTCTGCTAACAATGTTGTTTCAGGTGCATCCCTATTTCATCACTGCGGTAGAGTTCATCTATGTGATGTCGACATTCGATGAGGACCTAAATATATCTAAGGAAATGCAGACACGCAAATTGAATGCCACATAACGCTGAGATCTGTTATGGAATTGGGATTTTACAATGTTGTCATGCGTATTTTTTTATAACTTAAATCCGAATTTTATTTTCATATTTAACGCATATACGCACGCTATCTGGAACTGATACATATCATTGATGCTAAATACATTATCTTTACCGCTATGTTATGTCCAAACGCGCCTCGTAGGTGAAATCACTAAGACACCACATGATTTATTTCCGGAATAATATAATTAAGTCGATATTGTCAAAGTAGAACCGGACGACGCATAGAGGCATTGTTGACAATGTGTTATCACTCTATTTGGATGAGGATGTAGTCACATAAAGTTGAAAAAGAGTTTGAAACAATTGAATATGAAATATCGTACTGGAGGGCGAACTTAGTAAAATAAACGACAATCTGTAAGGTTCAACTTATAACACACATCTTAAACGTATTCACGCAGGTCGCACACATTCTTTCTTCAAAACAGCTTAAACAAATTCATTTCATGTGTTAAAGCAAAAAAGCATGTTACGTATAAGGGTATGTCGTTTCAGGAGTGTTTGAATAACGTTTAAGCTATTTTGCATGCTTCGGTAGTTGTATTTCGACATTCCTAAGTGCACTACACAGTTGTTAAAGCGGTTGAACAATAAATGGAAGCTATGGTGTCTTTGAATACTCGATGAGGGCGGTTTATTATGAAATCATAGCCCGAAACATGAATGTTATCTTTTCTATTTAAAGTTGAATGGCCACAATCTATGTCCGCAATTTACTGTGCACAGTTGTTGCTCAGGCACGCCATGAAACCTGTGATTGCGGGTTCAAATTACAGATTGTTCCCGATTATATTTCGTCGTTTGTCAACACCATATGATATCATTGTTAAAATTGATTATGACAGGGCTATTAAACAAAACGTTATACTGATAACGATGAGGACATTGATATAACTGATATTGTCTTTGATACTGAAACTGCTTGACTAGGATAGGTCTCACGTTGTAAGGGCCAACTAATGGCTATCGGGTTCTTCTGTCGTTTGACCTGCTTGATTGCGCGACAACAGTGTAAGTTGATTCATTTGCTATAAATCACTGGTTTGTCTGGTCCAGAATAGTTTTTTTTAAGGCCGACGGGATATTTTGTTATATCAATAAATGCGACCAATATGTAGTATTAAAGCTGTTTGACACTGACACTGATACTACATTGAACTACTGATATTTTTTTTATCATTTATATTTTCTGTATCATTTGTATTACATAAACACAGAGGATAATATGTCTTTTCTGATGAAATACAAGGTTTTCTCATCAAGGGAAATCTATTTTTTTAGGTCAAACAGGTCAGCGTTAGAAATTGGCACTTGTCCCATTGTCCTTGCCAAAGTGCCCAATAGTAAAGGTATCATAAGGACTAGAAATTTGCCATTATTAAGGGTTTAGCTATATGTTATCATTATAAGGACTAATAGGCTTAAACTGTTAGTTTCTATTGCTGCATGTATATATGTTGTTCTACAAAATATTCTATTTTCTGTGTATTTTCAGAGCGATAATGATGGTGCTGCTTTGGACACCATGGTGTCACTAGACAAACTGAAACAGTTCTTAACTTTTCAGATCACTAAATGCATGATACAATTAGTTACACATACATCTATTTCAAGAACATTGTACATGGAAAGTTATTTATTAAAATATCATGACACTTCGACTATTCTTGTCGTAAAGAGGCAACTAACGGGATCGGGTGATCAGACTCGCTGACTTGGTTGATGCATGTCATCGTATCCCAATTGCGTAGATCGGTGTTCATGATGTCAATCACTGGATTGTCTGGTCCAGACTCGATTATTTACAAACCGCCGTGATATAGCTTGAATAGTGCTATGTGTGGCATTGAACAACAGACAAACAAACTTCTATAAAATATGGGAGCCGCTTTTGGATTTGCGGGAATGTTGACGCTTTATGTTGAGTTCAAAATTATATTTTAGGGATATTAGTGATGACAATAACTCCAATAATAACATATTTATTGATAAAGGAATATCTTCATCAGAATTTGCAAGAAACAAAACTCGGGAATGCCACTAAACGTATTATTAACCATGAACGGCAATTAAGGCATGACGTGGCACGTCTGGATTGGGCAGTGAGACGCTCCTGTCACAGGATGTGAGTCAATATTATTGATGGGTTTGTTCGTGGAGAAATGAATGCACAATCGGAAGCAATGACCTGTCAGAGCAGGGACAGGGTGTTATGGACTTCCTTCAATTGTGCAATTCCTAGAATGGGCAGAACCAGGACATCAGCAGACGAAGTAGACTTTGCGCTCAAGGCAAACACTGCTTGTGGAACGGGAAACATAAGTAGATTGCAGGAAGTATTAATCGCCGAGAAAAGCTAACTAGCAGCAAATTCTTCGTACCATTGTATGCCTTCAGATTTCATTGTCATTCGTGAATTCGTTTGTGAAAATGGTTAATTTGTCATGCCAACAAGTAGATATTAATAACGGCACTTCTTAATAAGTCGTCTATATATTTTAAGATAACAAAAGCTGCGATAAAATCCCTTATACGCGTTTGCACTAAAGATATATTATACGCTGACGTCATGCACGTGCACACTAATATCATTGGTTAATGAGAAGCACGTGCACCATAATGGCAAGATCATGTGCTGATGACATTCACGTGCACACTAATGACAAGCTCAAAGGCCGATAACAAGCACATGCAATACAATAACAATATTATGCACTGGTGGCAAGCACGTGCACATTAATGACAATATTATTACACCAATGTCAAGTACGTGCACACTAATGACAACCACATATGCTGATAACAAGCACGTGCACACTAATGACAAGATCAATCGTCACGTGCACACAAATGACAAGATCATTCGCTGACGACATGTAGTCGTTAACGACATTATCACACGGTCATGACAAGCACGTGTACTATAATAAAAAAGTTGATATGCTGGTGGCATACACGTGCACTATAATGACAAGATCATACGATGATAGTAAGCGCGTGCACCATAATGACAACATTATATACTGATGACATGTACGTGCACACTAATGACAAGATCATACGCTGACGACATACAGTAGTAAACAAATAAAAGAAGATCATAATTAAGCCGACGGCATTAAGATACTCGCTAATATAATATGGCGATTACACCTGAACAAGATCATCTGCTGACGGCATTAAGATACTCGCTAATATAATATGCCGCTTACACCTGAACAAGATCATCTGCTGACGGCATTATTGTACTCGCAAATCAGAACCAATTTTTCACCGACAATGTTTCTCCGCCACTAAAACCGTATGATAAAAAGTTCAACTGCAATCAACACAACACATACAAACTAATACATTAACATGCACAATAGCAACCGAATATTAACAAGAACGTGAATAACAAAGCAAATGAATAATTCCCCGACTCATCCCTAATATTTTTTTAACTAATCTGTATGACTTGGACTTTAGACCTTTCAGATACGTTACCCCGATCTATCCATCTCAAGCAGGATTCCGAGGCCGACCTTTCAATCATTCCCGCAGTCAATAGCATTCCTAGATTAACACTTCTCTCAGGTATTTATACTATCTACTTAATGCGTCACGGAATTTCATAAACAAATATTTTCTGCACTGGAATTTTATTGACCAATGTTTATGGTATATGTTGAAAGGAATTAGATTAATACATAATTATTTATCATGTTTCAGAGATATGTTTACAGTCCTCTTTAACGCATAGCCACACATTCTGTTCTCACTTATATGATTTAAAGAAGCTATTCGATGTATCTGTATTTACATCTTACCAAACTAGGCTGGAATTTCTGGGTTCGATCGTAGCGCCACTAGTGGCTATTACGAGTTATGTCCCTTCTATGTCCCTCCTACTGACCAATCAGATTCTACCTCTCATGTCACTTGCATTTGCTTAAAAAATGGCGGCGCCCGAGCAAGACGATAAGATCAATAATCAAGATCTATATTGTAATAAAACGGGTCATAAAAAGTGCATCAAATCACGTGATTAGAAACATGAAATGATTTGGTAATATCTGTTGACGCCGGTAGGTGATACATATGCTTTACAAATCCTGCAATCGACCGAAATCTCCTGGGCGGTTGACGGACGGATGTCTATTTCGTTACGCAATTTTCATTTGACGATGCATAGATTCGTCAGTCGTAACCATAACCCCATATTTCCAGCCTAGTTCGACAAGGGTGGGAACTGGGCTTTTATAGTCAGTGAACTTCCTTGCCTCGGGAAGATGCTGTATGTGTTCCGGGTCATGGATGGCGCAGTTGTCTAATGTCTTAACCAGAATAACGAAAAACATTCTGAATTTAAAAAAAAGAAGATTTTATGCTTTAGACGTTTGAAAAAAATACATTGTTGTAAAGTGTAAAAATCAGGCTCATATAGTTTGAAATATAAAAAAATTATATGTGGTTTTGCAGGTGAAGCTGAAAACATCTAATCTCGATACAAAATCCCTGGGCCCCCATCGGAATATCAAATAGTCGGTCCCTTTAATCCCACTGACTACAATTATGTTGCCTATAACGTTATTCAATGTACACACGACATCGAAATCCACGCACAGCGATGTGCTTCTATTCGTTACCTTATATCTTTGAAGATATGTTGTAGGCATTGGCATTGTTTTAGTATGAATAATGTTCTTTTTAACATCTCCTGATATTTTGTTCAAGATATCTTAACTAACGTCAAATAAATGTGGTTTCACGTTCGCCTGTCTAACCGCATTCATTAATGCGCACCATCAATTATACTGTCAACTTGTGAGCACATGATGTGTTTGTTTGTTGTTTAATGCCGCACTCAGCAATAGTCCAGTTATGAGGACGGTCCGTAAATAATCGAGTCTGGACCAGACAATCCAGTGATTGACATCACGAGCATCGATCGACGCAGTTGGGATACGATGACATGCACCAACCATGTGAGCGGGCCTGAACACCCGATCCCGTTAGTTGCTTCTTACGACAAGCATAGTCGCCATTGTGTGCACTTGAAATTTTCCAGGCGCCACAATGTATTGTGATCTAGACACATGTGTCATCCACTGTAATTTTCACTGTTTTGGGCGGAACTGGATAAAAATATCGCAATAGTTCCGCCACAATTGTACAAAAGGTATTATTTGGGGTTTTACCCAATCAAATTCAATTCAAAATGTCTTTTTATTAAAATTGCAAATGATATCGTATTTCATTAGCCAATACTCAAAGTCGGATCCGTTAACTGCAATGATTATTGTGATTGGTGAGTGAGTGAGTGAGTGGGGTCGACGCCGCTTTTATCGCTGTTCCAGTTATATCACGGCGTATCAGCTTAACGTGGGAGGACAGCCCGAAGGATTGCAGGTCTCAGACGTTTACCAGTTTGCTGGAACCCACAAGCACTGTTATGGTGCTGACAAACCTAGTAACATAATCAGGGCGAACCGGGATTCAAACCCACAATCACAGGTTTCTGGTGGACCCAAGGGACGCAACTCTTTACAGCGAATGGCGACACCTAAGACAACTGGGCCACCCTACTGTCATTTACGCATGTCGCAGGAAGCATGTACACAACATGTTGTAGATGTCATACATAATTTTTCATTTTCAAAATCTATACATATAATTTCAAACTTGAAACATTGTTAAATACAATAACCAAATTAACCAATATTAGAATATACCAGAATATTATAGTCTCCGTATGCAATTGACGAATGATATATCACCTGTCTGATGGTTATGTAATCTCAGTGAAGCCAGTTTGATAACGTTGTAATGTGATCGGTGTGAATACAGCGTCATAAATAGCTATACAAGGAAACCGGCTACATATAAGGCATATGTGTCACCCAACGAGGCCTTCTCATTCTTTAAAAAGAACATGGTGATACAGTTATGACTGTTATTGACATTGATGTTCAGATCTCACACATTAGGATTTTCCTCCACTTGGCCTACTCGGAAATATATTAAGGCTGATTCACAGTGAGTGAGTCCTGGATAACGCCGCTTTTAACAATATTCCAGCAATATCACGGCGGGGGACATCAGAAATGGGCTTCAAACATTGTACCCATGTCGGGAATCAAACCCGGGGCTTCGGCGTGAAGAGCGAACACTTTAACCACAAGGCTACCCCACCGCCCCCAGATTCTAATGAATATAATGTCGGTTATCTGTTTTAATATTGCGTACATATAACTGACCGAATTACTTGACAAAATTCCAGCAATATCACGGCGGGGGACACCAGAAATGGGCTTCACACATTGTACCCATGTTGGGAATCGAACCCGGGACTTCGGCGTGACGAGCGAACTCTTTAACCACTAGTCTACCCGACCGCCCCTTCTTGACATAAGATATGCGGTATGATCACTTTATCAAGAATCGAAATTATGACTACACTGAAGAATGATTTATTGACTAATACCACGAAGATGCCAGATTTTCACTGAATATTTGGATTGACGCAGCTTCTGCCATTATTCTAGAGGCGAGAAGTGCCAATCTAGGAATCGAACCCGGACTCCGGCGTGACGAACGAACGTATGTCTATTTCAAATCTATTCTGTTGATTAACGCTCACTAAGGAATATTCCATACGATACCATGCTATGAACCAAGTCACCTACAACCACTCACTCACGCAGTCATTTGTAGCGCAAAATGACAATTGTCAGCAGTGTTCAACATATAGTTACTCCTTAAACATTGGTTAAATAGAGTAACTAACCATTCAACGATTAGACACTGGGATCGAGTGGTCTATCTTATTCAAACCATAGCTAAGAACCTGAGCACCTAACCTGTGTAAATAACCTTGATTCGAGGACCATATTTAAACAAATATTCAAGAACTCTATGCTATACAGTGGGAACACTGAATTGACCCCGTACACGTGTGATACACGTGAAAACGTGTTTTCCTGACCATGGCTACGTGCGTTAACCTTCGGTGCGGACATCGCAGGTTCGAATCCGGCCGCGGATCTAAATGATAAAAAGATGGGTTTAATTAAGAATTCAGTTAATTAATCACCGGTCTGAGACAGGTGATCAGTGATTAACTTCAGCACATCTGATGTTTATTAACCGGGCGAGGGGCGGTCGGGTAGCCAAGTGGTCAAGGCGTTCGTTCATCACGCAAAAGGCCCGGGTTCGATTCCCGACATGGGTACAATGTGTGAAGCCCATTTCTGGTGTCCCCCGCTGTGATATTGCTGAAATAAAACTAAAAGCGGCGTAAAATCAAACTCGCTCACTATTAACTGGGTGAGGCGTTCAGATTTTTGTAAACCTGGCCCGACTCGATGCTAGACCGGGATATAGCTGGAAGGTTTAACCACCATCCATATCAACTGAATCGATTGCTGCGCGGGCATTTATAAACAACGAATACGGACGGGGAAGATATTTGACGGTTGAGCAGCTCCAAGTGAAAGGATACCAATGGTTGCTTGTATACGATAAACGTATATACTTTTCTTATCAATAGCAGGTTGTATGATAACATGTCCGGGTACCAACAGGCGAAAGAGTTACATTTATTTAAGATCAACCATACTTCAACCTGCCTTGTTTTATAATTAATAATAAGTAGTAATTCATATTTTAATAAGGAAGTGAGAGGAAATAGATAACCCTGTTGTATGAGGGCGCTCTCTGGGAAAAACAATAAAATAGTCGACTTTTGACAAAGTAATTACGCCCGACAGACTGGTTGATAACCAGTGACAATGGAGGTATCTGTGATAACACGTGAATTATCTTTAACACTGTCATCGGCGAAGGGCGTGTGAGAGAAAGAGGGAGAGAGAGACCAATCTCACCATCCCTAACCCCTCCCACCCGCCACCACACACACCCAGGATAAATGACCTGACTCTGCTGTTGTGCCAACGTCGTGTCCGACAACCATGTAATGAAGATACCATACGTATTTTCAACTTGTTTATCCAGAGACTATATACCGGTATATGGTCTCTGGTTTATCTAACACACAGAAGTTTCAGTTTCAAAGACACGGGTTGAATAACGCTGGGTATGTCAGTGTAGCCGCGTAGGCGACTAATATAGAACGCGGCCAAACATGCCAACGCACGCACACACACAGGACAAACACACCGCTGTACAAATAATAAAACAAAACATATAATATAAAACATAATAAGCAAACCGTACGACCAACCTACAACACAGTCTACATCGTCGAAGAAAACCAAACCTGTCAACAGGCTAAACAATGGCGCTCGGTCCCAATCGTACCCACTCCCCCTTACCTGTAAGACTGTCACCACCATTGCCACTGCCAACACTTTGAAAAGTTTACTCCTGCAAATTCCCGCCATTCTGTAAGTGTCGTCTGCTCTGCTATGTAACTCGATATTATATCCCGTGCTCTACACCTTCCTCTCTTTCCTTGAATAACATCGTCACGTCAGTATATGCGACATTTTCCAGCAACGACAGAACAGGGAAGTAAATTATTGTATAGTCACGTGGTCTCATATCAACCGACCCGTCGGACCAGGAAGAAGTTTGACAATGACAATACACCTTGATTTGTATGGCGTAGATATACCACGTAGCTGAATTGTCCAACTGGATTTTCCCCAGGATGAATTACTCTCTATGTGAATCAGCGCGTGAAGGATGCCATTGAAAGATACAAGTGGCTGATTGTTGTTCCAGTCGTTTTTAAAATCGAGTACATATAACGAAAATCGTTGCTGTGTAATTTAAAATAGGTCCACCACGTAAGAACCAGCCCACAGAGTGTGTGTGTAAATTCATCCGATTCGCTATGGTGTCTTTGGGGTAGTCAAAATGTATGTGTGTCAAGGTGAACACTCTCAAGTTAACCTCTCCTTGTCAAGTGCGTGCGTGAGTTAGGTTTAACGCCGCTTTTAACAGTATTCCAGTTATATCGCGGCGTGTCAGCTTAATGTGGGAGGAAAGCCCGAAGTGATGCAGGTCTCGGACGTTTAACACTTCGGTGAAACCCACGAGCACGGGTATGGTGCTGACAAACCTAGAAACATAATCGTCATAATTGTCAAGTGTCAACGTTTGGAGTATGTGTATTAGTTTGTTTGTATGTTGTTTAAAGCCGCACCCAGCAATGCTCCAGCTATATGACGGCGGTCTGTAAATAATCGAGTCTGGACCAGACAAACCAGTGATTGACATCAAGAATATCGATCCACACATTTGGGATACGATGACATGCATCAACCAAGCCAGCGAGCCTGACCACCCGATCCCGTTAGTTGCCTCTTACGACAAGCATACTCGCCTTTTTACAGCAGGCATGGGTTGCTGAAGGCCTTTTCTACCCCGGATCTTCACGGGTCAATACTTCATTGTGACTATTGTTATAAATATTATCATCTATATTCTAGAAACGTTTGATATAAAAGCGAGAACAACAACAACACATTTCCATAATCATAAGAAATCTACATTGTAAATGTTCGACTATATTATGAGCATGTGTTTCCGATTCACATGAAAAATGATAAAGTTAAAGCATAAAACTAATTTAACCTATTTATTCTTAATCAAATTTCCCTTCCCATATTCAATTCCATTCTCATGTCTATATATACCTGTGATGATCCGGGTTAGAATAGGCCTTCAGCAACCCATTCTTGGTGACTATGCTATTAATCATTGGATTTTCTGATCCAGGGTCGATTATTTACAGACCGCCGTCATTTAGCTGGAATATTGCTGAGCGCGGCCTTAAACAACAAACAAACAAAATCATGTTTATATTTATTTTCCTGTTGACATGTCCATTCTCATTCCTTTTTCCAAATACGATTTCCATTTCCATTCAGATGCACATTCTTATTATCATTTAAATATTATTTTCATTTTATTAAGTATTATTTTCATTTTTATTCTCATTCCAATTCAAATTTGTATTCCCCTTCATTTGTTATTTATTTTCTGTTTCTTCTTCACTCCCACAATATCCTTTTCGTTAAACCAGTCAGTGCCCTAAGGTAACTGTTACAAAATGGTCTAAATTAAGCCGTGGTTGATGACACACACTCACACATATATAAATTGTCAATGCAAGAGAATAGATTAAAATTTGGTGCAAAGGGCAAAAGAGCTGTCAAAATTATATGAATGGATAACTGAAAATCAGTGATGACACCAGGTGTTCGCGAAAAGGGAAAGCATGCCCTGCCAGTTGATACATGATGATAAACATTTGGTACCTAGGATCCAGTCTTCCCCGGGACCTAGCCTCCTGGTGGCGTCTGAATGAGGGTATAATGTTGAACTGGAATATGGACCCTTATTGAATCGAAAATATTTGAAATATATACTTTCATTATCTAACATGTTAACTAGTTCAGTTTAAACATGATTTATTCACATGAAAATAGTTGGGAACAAGGTATCACACATTCAGTGGCCATCTCCTTCGTCTTCCATTTTCCGTGGTAGAGTGTCCGCCCGGAGAGCGAAATGTCCGGGGTTCGATCCCTGGGCGCGTCATAACAAAAGACGTTGAAATATGGTACTTGTTGTTACCCTGCCTGGCGCTCGGCATTAGGGGGGTGCTGGTCGACTCGTAGTCAGTATACTGTGCCTAAGTGGGGTATTCATGTTAAACTGCCGCATGGTATCTCAGTGAGCTAGCACTATAAATGAGTCCGGACTAGTACAAGCAGCCACACACACACACACACACACACAGACACACACAGAGACACGCACGCACGCACGCACGCACACACACACACACACACACACACACACACACACACACACACACACACACACACACACACACACACACACACACAGACACGCACGCACGCACGCACGCACGCACGCACACACACACACACACACACACACACACGTACACACACGTGCATGCACGTCGCTATATAAGTGCAATAATCTTGGCCGCGACGTTAAACCCTATTTCACTTCACCACCTCACCTCACCTCACCACCAAACCATATGAGAACATGGCGGACAACTTGATACTAAACGTATAATGGATTTCATAAACTACAAAATATACTGTTGTTTAATTTTTTACCAAGGGCACGTGAGAAAGAAAAGGGTTGCTTATTGTAAGGGCACCTGATATTGTAAATAAATCTACCCCCTTAATATTCATCTAGTGATTGCAGAACATATTCCACGTTCCGCATATTCTCTTCAAAGTCCACGCGAAACACGTTTAGAACTCGGTGTTCAAACTGGAAGAACCATGCGGTATTTTCACTTTTACCCTAAGTTATTGCCATTTTAAGTTTCCCAAGCTACATTTTAACAACAAACGAACTAAGAAGATTGTTTATAAAAAATATATTTGAATTAAAAGCTTCACACAACTGTGTAAACTTAACCTGCTGGTGAACATAGACGCGATGCGTTGTGAAGACAATGAATATGAATGAGTGGCACCTGTGAATTTCTTGCTGGCTTGAGAACGGTGACAATGCGTCTGTGCGTGTGTCAATGTGTGTGTGTGTGTGTGTGTGTGTGTGTGCACGCGTGTGTGTTTGTGTCTATATGTGCGTATGCGTGTATGTCTGTGTTTGGGTGCATGTATCTGTGCGTGCGTGTCTATATATATATGTGTGTGTGTGTGAGTGTGTGTGAGTGTGTGTGAGTGTGTGAGAGTGTGTGAGAGAGTGTGTGTGTGTGAGTGTGTGAGAGTGTGTGTGAGTGTGTGTGTGTGTGAGTGTGTGTGTGTGTGTGTGTGTGTGTGTGTGTGTGCGTGCACGCGCGTGTGTGTACCAGTTTTCCGTTTGGACAGCCCCGTGGAGATTTCGGGTTATAAATAGCCGCTAGCAACCTATACTGGTCTTGAGAAGCAACCAAACGGATCAGGTAGACAAGCTCGGTGGCTTGCGTCTCATGGAACTCCGACAGTGCGTCATGTTGCTCGTATAAATCACTGGATTGTCTGGTCCAGACTCAATTATTTACTGTACGCCATCATATAGCTGGACTACAGCTGAGAGCAACGTAAACAAACAAACAAACATGTACAAGTAAACAGTGGTATCTAAATGGAACCATCAGCAAGCCGATCAATTGTGAAAAGCGTATCTAGGCTAAAGACCCGTGAAGAATAGGTCTTCAACAACCCATGCTTGTCGTTAAAAGCTACAATGCTTGTCGCAAGAGGCGACTAACGGGATCGGGTGGTCAGGCTCGCTGACTTGGTTGATGCATGTCATGGATTCCAACTGCGTGGATCCATGCTCGTGATATCAATCACTGGATTGTTTGGTCCAGACTCGATTATTTACAGACCGTCGTCATATAGCTGGAATATTGCTGAGTGTGGCGTAAAACAACAAACAAAAGAACCAAAAAAACTGTCTGTCTGAAAGCTTGAAACAGCACTATTTTTCATGTTGACTGCAATCATAATCAACGACTGACAAGTACCGTATATAAATGTTACGCGACTTTGTTAACATGGGATAGGTCAGGTGATTACCGGTGGACAAATGGCTAGCGGGCAGTCTGTTGACCAACTATCGTTAGGCTTATGCGTGCAGCCTCCACCACTATCATGGTCATATTGTGAGAATGGTTGTCGGCTATGTGACGTCATGCTTAGGTGCGACTGTTTATTTGACTGGCATGGGCTCCTGTCTATTAGAAATAGGTAAAAACGCACACAACAGCTGGGCGTACCAATATTGAAGCCAATTAAATATTCTTTGAATGTACAATCAAAGGCATTTGACACAATCTTAGAGTGAGTGAGTATAGTTTTACGCCGCTTTTAGCAATATTCCAGTAATATCACATCACCAGACATTTTACCCATGTCGGTAATCGGGTCTTCAGCGTGACGAGCAAACGCTTTAATCACTAGACTACCTTACCGCCTCTTAGCATCTTAAAGCATGCTGTACAACTAGTATGAACACTATGTTTTAGGTCATCGCTTCAAAGACTCTTTTTCAAACTAACAAAAGTTGCATTAGCAAGCTACAGATACTTGTATGAAATATACATAAATAGATAGTTGTTTTTATAATATACCATGGGGCTTTCCTTAGATTATATATATAACCCAAGATACTTTCAATTGTATTAATGACAATTTTAAATGAATACTGCTGACAATCTCAACACAAATAATCTAAATACTAAAATATTTTCAACATTCATTCAATAAAAAAAAACAAAAAAAAAAAAACATTTCCATAGTCATACGAAATATCAGAGGCAGAGTCCACTGTAAGAATCCTATTATATCATAAGCATGTTATAAATCACTATCGAAACACATGCAAAGGCAAGTCAAGTATTAACTTGTAAAACACGAAAACACATGGTACGAGTCAAAACAGGGAATTGCATCAGATATAAGATTTGTTGCATCTACCATTAAACGTTTCGAAACCCTTGAATATTGAAACCCTGCTCAAACAACTTTTGAGCCAAAGTCGAGCTTTGAAATTTTTGTGAAAAAGAGCATGCTCAATTGTACCTCAAAAGTTGTGAAATGTAGACACCAAAGGCTGGAGCTACTG